CTTTAGGAATTTCATCCGCATTCTTCTTTTTTCCAGTTGGCTGATAGGTTAGATTTCTCTTTTTTCAACATGTAAATTATTGAAAAAAATGACAACTTCAGTTATATTTCTCACAGTTTCATCAAAAAATAAATTAGATAAAATGGGCAGTGATTTTTCTTTCACATCTCTGTAAAATCTCAGGTAGGAAAATATGATATACCTTATTGCCACAAATCTTAAAAATAAAATGGGAATTTTTGTTGTCACAGAATATTGGACAACATCCAGAAAAACGTGAAAGTACAATAATCACTTATACAACTGATGAACTTCACAGATGTATTGTTTAAGAAGTGCATCTGTATCTAGCTTAAAGACTTTGTCCATTATCCTTCAAAGCAGTGGGTTTTTTTATAATTAAGATGTATTTCAAGTCCCGGAATTCCTCAGCCAAAATGTTGGCTGGGAAATTCTAGTCCACACATGTTTAAGTTGCCAAGTTTGAAAAACATTGCTTTAAAATTATACACAAATATGTGTTCAAAAAGATAGTTTACATATGGGTAGATTCACAAGTCTCTGTTCTAGATTATCGTCATCTGTAGCTGGGATAATAGGATTCAAAGTCTCACACTTCCAGGTTGAGGAAAATATCCTGTGAATAAACCTAGATTAGAAAATACTTCCATACTAACCTAAAGATGCCAAGTAGAGTTCTGAATCTTTCAGTGGTACCCAGGGCTTCTCATTCATTTGCAAAGAGGGGCCTTTTGCTTCCATCTGATTCTCCATCATATGAACATAAGAATCTGCAAAGGAATCTGAAAATGCATTATTGGATTCTTCATTCTGGTCTGGATGCGGCAGAGATGAACAAATTTCAGTCCAGAGGTCCTGGCTGGAAACAGTAACCAGAGAATCAACACTTTCAATCATGATCATGATGCAGCAATTCTGAAAAAGAAGAAAGAAAGAAAATGATGGGTATATAACATCATATTGATATATATCTTCTTTTTTTTTTTTACTTTGGGACCAGAAGTAGAGTAACTTTTTTTAAAAAAAAAAGCAGATGTTTAAATTTTCTCAAAACTCTATGCACTTAAAATTCTTGGTGTCAATTTATCTGCTCTAGTACATACAAAACTTTGCTGACTCTTCCCTTTTCCCCAAGTCTTTATAATCAAAATGCTCAGGGAATTTTCTGCAGAAAAAGATTCAACTTTAAACATCTGGGAAGAAAATTTTATAAACTGAAAATAAATTCTTAAATATTTATGACTCCACAGGAAATTAGCCATTTTAAAGCTGGATTACCTGCATAATAAGCTTTTTTTTAAATTTGTGTTCTGTCTTCATTATTTTTTATAAATAACTCAAGGCAGCGAACATATCCAATGCACCTTCCTCCTATTTTCCCCACAACAACAACAACCCTATGAGATGGATTGGGCTGAAAGAGTGTGGTTGGTCCAAAGTCACCCAGCTGGCTTTTATGACTATAACAGAACTAGAACTTTCTAGCCTGGTGCCTTAACTACTAGACCAAGCTGTATTCATTGTTTTAAAATTTCTAATAGAAATCATATATCTTTCATTGGTAAAACAAGTTGGCCCAAAGGCCAGACTGAGTCTATCTAAAACATTAGTGGGCATAAAAAAGTGAAAAAAATACTTGCTTTTCATGTATATTTTATTAAATTTTTACAGTAACAATCTTTAGTATTTAATAAGTAACACATTTATGTGTTTAAGATTAATAGTAATACAATTTCCATTCCTACCCTTTATTCCATTTTTCTAACCATTTATAAAAAATTTCCCATGCTTGAAAGTATTTTGAGTCTTGCTTCCCCTTCATTTTCAATGTGAGCCTATCCATTTCTGCACAATCCAAATTTTTCTTAATTATGTCTTCTTCAGATAGTATTTCTTCATTTTTCCAGTATTGAGCAAATATAATTCTCGCTGCTATTAATATACAGGTATGTAATATTAAGTATACACTTTTCTTATCATAATTTTCTGAAGTTATGCCTAAAAGAATTAATTCCGTTTATAGTCTACATGTGCTCCTATAATCTTTTCTAGCCACCTATGTATTTTTGACCAATAGTTCTTTGTTTTAGGGTATGTTCACCAAAGATTATAATAAGTGCCTGGATTTTTAAACATTTTTGCTAATTTTGAAAGTGGTAAGTGCCATCTATAGAACATTTTATATAAATTTTCTCTAGAGGTAGCTGCCCTTGTTATTTTGTAATTTCTTTCCCATAGGTTTTGCCGTTTTTCTAACTCTACATGCAGTGCACATCACATCATACAACCCGCCTTGCCTTCCCTACAAGGTTCCATCCAAAAAAGGTACCGGAACTCTGTTCTGGGTGTTCTATGACAAAAAAAAGCCCTGTCTACATGTGCCCAAAGTTTTTTGCCCAAGTTATCATTGCTTCTTTAACTTGTTCATCTTCTGTTTTTAATTTAACAGAAAACTGTACAGTTTCTTAATCAATTTGTCATCTGATGACAATAGTATCTGGTCTAACGTTGTCTGGTCTTGGTAAAAACCATATATTTTTGCATCTTTCTCATATCTCATTTGCATTTGCAGGTGTGGCCATCATGATAGCTCAATGCCCTGTTCTTCCAATTCTTGTTCAGTTTGTAGTGTTCTATCAGTATTCAAAATGTCTTTATAAGTCACAAGTTTCTTATGATTCATTAAGTTTGGGTGTACAAATGCCTCCATTGTTGAAATCCATCCTGGTATTTTCATGTAAGTTCTTGATTTTACCTTTTCCTATATCAAAAGCAGTGCATAATGATTTTGATAGTATTAATGAATTTTGTTCTTCCCATATCATAGGAAAGCATGTCATCCTATGCATGCCATCCTACTAAAGCATGCCATCCTACTAATTTTAGCCATTGTCTATCCACTACTGGATGGCCTCTTCCACGTTTCCAACCAATATGGTCTTGAGCTTTCTTTTGCCAATTTGGCCCATAATATTTGCTGATGTCATTGATCCATCTTGTTTTGGGTCTCTTTTGTGGACGCTTTTTATGACTGCCTTAGTCCATCTGCTATGAATTCTTCTTGCTATGTGACCAGCCTTTTTCCATTTCAATTCTTTTACTCTTTTGATTGCATTGTATATTTGCATTTGTTCTCTATTCCATGTGCAGGTCTTTCTATCTTGTCTTGTGATGCCGAGCGTGTATCTTTCCATGGCTCTTTGTGCCACTTGTAGCTTTTGTATCGATGTGAGGTTAGTGTCCATGTTTCGCTGGCATATGTTAGAATAGGTAGCAGAACTACTACCACCACCACCACCATTATTACTGCTACTAATAATAATAATAATAAAAGCTGACCATTACCTAAATGAGGAACAGCCAGGAACTAATATGTACATTCCTTGGAGAAAAATAATTTAAAAATATGCTTAAAAGATTAAAAAAGAAAGAATTACAAAGTATATTGCTTACTGCAAACTGGAAAATGTCAACTCCAAAACTGCAAAGAATGCTGGCATTGCCCTCCCAATGCAACTTACAGATTCAGTCTGAACTTTAAATTGATATGCATTTATATTTATCCAAACATATCATCTGTAGGCATAGCACCAGGGCAGTGTTTATAAACCACAACAACTTGTGTGGACCTCAGTTCCAGAATTGTCCAGCTAGCAAATGAACCAGCATTCCCCAGTCCACACATCTTAAAGTTGCTAAAGTTGCAAAACCCTGCACCAGAAACTTTCAAGATAAATCTTTGACATAATGTAGGTATCATAGACTGTGACAAAATCAAATGCCAACTTCTTATAAAATACGCATTTATGAACTGTGTCAAGCTGTTAAATGCTTTCAATTGAATATTTTGGAAAGTTTTGAGTACTCAATGATATTGCTGCCATAAAATTGGAAGGGGCCCTTTAAGCCTTCCATTTCAGCTTCTCTTCCATGCAGAAATCCGATTTGGAGATCCCCAGCAGAGGGCTCTATTAGTCCATCTAAACATTCCCAAGAACGTGAGTTCACCACCTCCCTCAGGAATTTTGTTCTGCTGTGCAAATTCACTCCTACAGTGTTGAGGTTTTTCCCTAATTTCCAACTTACAGTCCTCCAGATGCGGTTAGCAATTCAAAAGTCCCAATCACACCGACCGGGAATTCCGAGTGTTGCAATCCAGAACAGCTGGAGAGTGTGTTGCTATCCTGGAGAAAGTATTGCCATAAAAGCCTTTTAGCTTAAAAAACGGCTTTGAAAACCCTGAATGACTTGGGCAATAAAAAAAAAAACCATGATACAGACACATCGCGTGCCCCACCTACCAAGAGAGCTGCATTGCCAAAATAGCACTGATGCGCCAATCTCGAGACACAAAAACGTAAGGCCTTCAACAATGATCTTTCCAGGTGATCGCTGGAGGGATCCCTCCCATTCTGCACCGCAATGGGTTTTTGCCCTATTCCCCCCCCCCCGCGCGCGACTTGATCTGCGGCTCCGACTCTTCCTACCTGGATGCATAAACCTGCTCCTGGTGCAAGTCAGAACCCGCCAAGAGAAAAGGAACAGAGCGAGCAGGTCTCTCTCACCTCCACGCTGGCCAATTGGCGAAAAGAGCAGGGGTGGAGGTAAGACAAACCATCGATTCCCCCCACAATTAAAGATGGATCGCGGCTGATTGGCGTTCCTATTTAACTTCCGGTTCCGTATGGCCCGTTGTGGCATCGTCCATGTGCGGGAGAGGAGCGCTGGAAAGACAGACCTCAAAGAAAGGGGGAAACATTAAATCCGAGCGCTGTTCCTATAGGTAAGAAGAGAGCATATTCATCCAGGGAGAAAAAGACCAGACTTATTTCGCAGAAAAAGTGAGTTCTTTAATCTTGCTAAGGAGCTTCACTTCGATTGTTTTGGCTTCAGAGCCCTCAGCCTGCATATGGAGACGCCTAAGAGCAACGGAAGTGGCAAACGTCATATGTTTAGTCTATCTCTTTAAAGTAACGAAGCCTCTTCTCCATGTAGTTAAAGACGACATCTTGGAACCGGGCATTACTTGGGGCGTTTGCGTTAACTCCGTTTTGGAATTCCCGAGACACGAACCGTAGCTTTTTCCTCCTCCTTTCTAGTGTTATGTAACAAACTGGAGAGAGTGGGGATATGCCATTAGGTTTACTGCGTTTGCACAGAGGAATCCTCCCTGTCGCTTCGTGCTGGTGGGTGTTTTGAGAGGTCCTAACTGCTCTGGACCACTGGTGAAGGGGAAGTCTGGTTCAGCGTGTGGTGTGAGAGAACTAGCTTAGTTGAGTTCACCGTGGGCAAGTATAGCATGAGAGCACAGCTTCCGATTCAGCATATAGTTTTGTGTTTGCTGTGCTAAAATAAATTATTTAGCTTTATCAATGCAGGAGGAAGGCTTGAAGCAGTGTGCCTCAAACTGGACAACTTTAAGATAGGTGGATTTCAATCCCAGAATTCCCCATGGATGGTTGCTAAGTTTCATCCATACTGGCCTAAAGAATGCTATAAAGTCAGCAGATGAAGTTTCCTGCAGAGGGAGTTGCTAGGAAAGTTGTCCTGGAAGGGGCTTCTCTAAACAGTCTTATACTGTGCTGGAAGAAAACTGAGAAAGGCTCACATGCCTTTGACTTGAGAAGGGGTAACAGCAGGAACTTGGCTTCTAAAGCAGATAAAATAATTTAAGCAGAGTTTGGAAGCTGATGCTGAAAGACAACAGAATAATTTTGGGGAGGGAATCTGTGTTTTGGTGAGGAGCTAGAACAGTGATGGCAAACCTTTTAGAGACAGAGTGCCCAACCTGCAACCCAAAACCCACTTATGCATTGTCGGGTGCCGGGTGGATGTGGCCCATTGGCTGGGTGTGGCCCATTGGGGGGTGTGCCCCATTGGGTGGGCATGGCTGCGGTGGTAACGGCAGACTGAGTGGGACTAAAAAGTTCAATCAATGAATTCCAACTTTGCAAAATCTTTTTTTTTCCTGTGAGAAGTTGAAATTGACTGATTGATTGATTGAACCTTTTTTTTTTTTTGCATATGGCAGTGGAGGCCTAAAGCGAAAAGGTTTTATAAATCCCAGCTGAAGGCCTAGGACTGGGGCGACAGCACACGTGCCCACAGAGAGGGCTCTGAGTGCTGCCTCTGGCACCCGTGCCATAGGTTCGCCACCACTGAGCTAGAACTTTCAAATTATCTTCCACAGCTGTTTGGCATAAAAATAGTTAAGTTGCATTTATAAAACTGCACAATACCTGCTGAAATGAAATGGTGCTAAAGATCCTTTATTACAATGATGCTATTCTAAAATTCAGAGTTGGATTGATATGGTATGACCAATCAAAGGATTACAAGTGAATAGGCTTCTGAATTCATTGCCAGTCTCTCTCTGGTAATATGAAACTCTCTATTTACTTTGAACTTTAGCAGCAAATGAGTTTTCTATTTATGCATGCCTCTCGAATCTATTCTTAATCTTGGCTGCTTTCTGATTGATATAGGATTTTGTTTCTATACAGTTTTATTTAAACATCTTTTGGTTCTTCCTTTTTTAAAAAACCCACTGACTGGCTAGGAAAAATTGGGAACATTTATGTGCAATGAACTATTTGCTGCCTTTTTCTGTTTTGCTAATGGGACTGTTGCCAACGAGAACTATGGCTTGGACCTCAACTGGAAAGACGCATGCTGAACTGATCAACAATCTGTATAGTGAGTATAAACAGCAGTTTACATTCAGGACAGACTTCTAAAACACTGCTAAAGTACCTGGCTATTTTTCATAATTAACAATTCTGGTGGTCTGGTAAATTAAGAATGTCTTTTAACAATTATATCAAATGGAACAGCACAATACTGAAATGTTAAATAGACTAGGGGGAGTTAAGTGGTAGACAATCCACCACTTCCATTCTAAGGTGTACAGTATGATTCTTTCCCACCAACCTTTTTTTAAGGACAAAGTCCCAACTACATTAGGCAAAAAGACTTCCTATTTTCCTTTACAGTGGCCAAATGGTGATGATATACCTTTCTGTTTTTCCAAATAATTAATATTGAAGATAATATGTAACTATCATGAATAATAGTACTGATAACTTTATTATCCATTGACATTTAATTAGGGTTAAATGATCCAAGTTGAAAATTGTTACTATGTTTGTAACGAATTCCAGTTATCTAAGATTACACAAAAAATAATTTTATGCTAGTTCTAATATTATGAAATAGAGGAAAAATCTGAAAAGCTGAATTGTACTATTGTAGGCTACTGGATTTCAGATATAGATCATATTCCCTGATTTATAATTTAATGGATGTTAAGAAGCTAAGAAATTAAGAAAACTAAATTATGTTCTTAGTTTGACTTATAACTAAGATAATTCAGTATTCTTAGCTTTTTATAAAATCTAACATAAGCTATATACCAAGGAATATGATCTATATCTGACCTGTAGCTGTTTTGAGCTGGTCTCTATTTTATGACAGAAATGAGGTTTATACTGTATAATAACTTGTATTCATTTCTCCCTGTAGAAAATGGTGTGATTAAATCTCAAAGTGTTTATGCTGCGATGCTGGCTACCGATAGAGCCCACTATACCAATTATTATCCATATATGGATTCTCCTCAGTCAATTGGTAAGATCACAAACTATTAATAAAGAAATATTGCATATATTAGAGACCACATTATATATTATTTTCATGCTTGGAATCTCATATCTGTCCCAGGCCACTAAAAACCATGGTTTCATCCAGACTATTCTACAGGTAATAAAGGAAATATGAAGACTTTTTTATTAAGTATATTTATTTTGTTTTATAAAAAATAAAATATAAAACTGCAAAAAAATGTCCAGCTTTAACAACAAAGAAAAAAAATTGGTGTATAAAAAAAAGAGAAAAAGGTGATCCAAATAGCAAATAAATTTAACATCTAACATACAGTATAGAATCCATCCCGGATGAATGCTGAAAAAAAGAAAAAACAGTAAATTCTCCTCCCCTTTTACAAAGATATGTTTATATAAAAGAAGAAAGAGCGGTCAACGGATTAAGCTAAACATTGCACTAATCTTCAAATTGTTCTATTAACTATCTGTTATTGTATTTAGTGTGTAGAAAGTCCACAAACAGTTTCCAGTCTCTTATAAAGCTGTCTAGTTTATTATCTCTGATCAAAGCAGTTAATTTCATCATCTCTGCTAATTCAGTTAATTTTAAATCCATTCTTTAGCTGTCCCTTTTTCTTTCCAGTGCTTGGTAAGCACTCCAAATTGTTTTTCATAATACCTAAAAAACAAGCTTCAGGTTTCATTAATATTTGTATCTTAAATATTTTCTGTATTGTCATTGTTATGCTTGTCCAGTATGTTTTCACATATTTGCAAGGCCACCGCATACGATAAAATGAACCTGGATTTTGACTACATCTTCAGCACTTATTAGAAGTCTCTTTATACACTTTTGCTAATCTGTCTGGAGTCAAATACCAACAATACATCATTTTATAAAAAATGTCTTTCAAGCTATAATTTAAGGTAAATTTTAGTCCATTAGTCCATACATTCTCCCATTTAACTAGCATTATGTTATACCCATTTTTTTGCCCATTTTACCATACAGTCTTCAATGTATTCATCTTCCAGATTCATCCTAAGTAACATTTGATACACTTTAGCAATCAAGTGGTCATCTCCTAATATGAAGACTTTAAACAAGAACCTTAATTCAGGAGTGTCCATAGTTCCTGAATTTATTAGCTCCAGAGTTGTTTCTAAAAGATCTAAAGATCAGTGGCATAATTATCTGCCAGTTTGAGTTGAAAATCATACAGATTGGGCTTCATGTAGATTGGGCTTCAAAGAGTTTTTTAAAAATCCCTAAATATGATTCAGTGAAAAGCCTGACAAAACAAAAACAAAAATCCTGCCCTTTGCAGCCTTTACCTTCTTAAAAACTATTATACCTGCACTAAAAGGTTGCTCACCATCTTACACTTTTAATTGCCCGGAAGGATTGAGAAAATGAAGGGTTTGTAATGTTGCTTGAATGATGGTTCTTAGCATGGGGAAAAACCCCTTTTTTTGATGGTTTTATTTCAGGATACAAGGCTACCATCAGTGCACCTCACATGGTAAGACAGATTTTCATATTAAATAGTATATGAAGACATTCTTGCATTGAAAATATTTACTCAGTAAAGCAGAGACCACCAATGTAAGGCTTTATAATTTGCATCATCAGTTTATTTCCATGCAGCTTACTCTGGCATTGCTATATAATATTTTTGTAATAAAAGAAAATGGAATTTTATAACTTATAACTACAGAAATTGCCCAGATGATTTGACCTAAGGCTGTATCCATATACACTGCCACTGAATTACGTATGACACCCTTCCTTATGTCTTATATACATCATTAATCTACATCTTCTGAATAATTTTGTGTTCCATATTGGTACATCTCTTATTGAGGTATATGACACAAATCAATACAAATGCACGAAACTACGGGTAATCTTCAACTTCTCAGTTGAGCCCAAGATTTATGTTGCTAAGCGAGACATTTATTAAGTGATTTTTGCTCCATTTTATAGCCTTCCTTGCCACAGCTGTTAAGTGAATCACTGCAGTTGTTAATTTAGTAACAGGGTGGTTAAGTGAGTCCCCATTGACTTTGCTTGTCAGAAGGTGACAAAAGGTGATCACATGGCCCTGGGACACTGCAGCCGTCATAAATATGAGTCAGTTGCCAAGCGCCTGGAGAATCACCAAGAGTTTTGATCGTGTGATCATGGGGATGCCTCAATGGTTGTATGAAAAACAGTCATAAGTCATTTTTTTCAGTGCCCTTCTAACTTTGAACGGTCACTAAATGAACTGTTGTAAGTCAAGGACTACCTATATAACTGTACTACAGAAATCTGTCTGCCAGGACTAAGTTGGTGAGAACTAACTTGTTTCCTCTTTTGTATGAAAAAATGGTGCTAGAATCTAGTAAAAAAAGAATTGTTATTTTCACCTTGATGCAGTCGAAATGTTATTGGACTGCAACCTTTTCTTTTCTCAGCCCTGCACAGTTGGTGGTTTGATGTAAGAGAAATTGTCACTCAACACATCTCACTCAAGACATCAAGTGGGGGAAGACTGAGCTAAAAAACTGTGAAAATTAGTTATGTAGAAAATGTGTAATGTTATGTATAATGGTTGTTTCTACAGCATGCTCACGCGCTTGAGTTACTGAAGGACCAGCTAGTGGAAGGAGCGAAGGCATTAGATGTAGGATCAGGAAGTGGCTATCTCACTGCTTGTTTTGCTAGGATGGTAAGCAAAAAGCATTATTTGCAAAAAAATCTTTCTCTTCTTGCTACCGGTGAGAAGGCATACCTATGTGTGTTCTTTATAGTTAGTATTCTGTCAACTTGATATATCCGGTGAAATTGCTGTCTGGCTATTACAAAACTTAGACTCTGAAAAATTAAATGGAAAACACAAAAAATTCATTTGCATCTCTGTGTGTGTGCACAAAACCCCATCCAGAACATTCTTTAATTATTCTACTACTATCAGGCAATATAATTTTTTAGCACTGGAAAGAGATAAACCAAAAGTGAGTTCCACTTAATATGGTGGAATTTTGCTATGTGGTTAGATTTATATGAATTGACACATTTTTTCCTCACATTGGAACTGGAAGAAAGAAGGAGATGCAATTGTGCGATAGTTGCAAATAAATTGCTTGTGAGTATAACTTCCAATTACATAAGTAATGTTAAAAAAATCTAAAATTCTATTTAAAATTAATGAATCTTTACTAAATTAAACTCAATGATTTTTTTAATGAATTCTATTTTCTCTATAATAATGAATTTGAAGTAGTAATAGAGTTTGAATTATACATGACTCCTTTTATAGGTGGGGTCCACAGGCAAGGCAATAGGTATTGAGCACATAGAAGAATTGGTTCATGAATCCCTTAGGAATGTCAGAAAAGATGATCCAACCTTGCTTAGTTCTGGACGAGTGAAACTTTTAGGTAAGTTACCTGCTTTATAGCTATGGTACCAATTCTATTTTGATAGTGCTTGGTATTTTCAACAGTAGAGAAAGCATTCTAGAAAGATATTTCTTAAAATCTATTTTTCAAAGCTACAGGGGTGAGTTGTCTCTAAAGAATTATCTCTATATAATAATTCTTTTTATGGTAAATTGGACAATCTGGATGTTTTGATATTCACTGCTTTCCATATGACTTCTTTTTCATTTTACCCAGAAGTTTTTTACTGGATCTTTTTTAAAGCTCCTTCTAATTGGAAAATAAGAAATTAAATTATATCACTGAAATATTGAACGGAATAATACTGAATGGAACTTTTTCTCTAGTGATATCCATAGTGTGATGCTGCTACTTCAAAATAGGTCTCTTTTCAACTAGGAAACCTTTGTGTTAATGAAGCCTGCCCCTGACAATTAATCAGCTTGCATATATTTTGTTCTTTATCTGTCATTTTGCTCTGTAGGTCTTGTGTTTTTGTATTACACATAGAGTATCTGTAATTTAAACTAGACATTGTGTTTTCAGTCTCCTGCGGGGTTTCATTGAAAATGGATTGTAAATGAGAAAAATCATTTTCTTCTTCCTATAAAACCTTCACTGCCCACATTCCTTCTCCACAGTTGGGGATGGTAGGAATGGATATCCTGAAGAAGCCCCATATGATGCCATCCATGTTGGAGCAGCTGCACCCACTGTGCCAATGGAGGTAGGATACAGAAGGACCCCTCTCAGCTCCATTTAATAAACAATCTTATCTTCTGTTTTCCAAGGTGCAAAGAGTGCTATGGAACTGTGACCCATGCTGGAAAATTAGCCCCAAATAGAATAAAGTCAGACGAATACTTCAAATATAGAGGCTTTTGACTATATATATATATAATTGTGTTAAAAATATGAATCCTGAGTATACACATATTGCCAAAATAACAAAAAATCTCGAGCACCAGAATAAAGTATAAACAAACTGTTTAATATATAAAACTACTTAGCTTTCAGCGGCCAACCTGGTGACAGTGTCAGAGTACAAAGCAAAAGATCCGGGAGTTCGCTTATATAGCCGGCTGCCACTGCGCTCTGCTCCTCGATCGGGTCATTGGGCCGCTCATTTCCTCTAGTCATTTGTTCCTAAATGCCCCGCACCAGTCAAAATGCTGGCAACTTCCCGAGCTGTTCTCCTGCTCGTAATCGCTGTTGCTCCCCTGGGGCGCATGCAAATGCCCAGGGGCTGGCTCTTCAGTCGCTCTTGCTCATCGCTCCCCTCCCCTCTTGCCACAGGACGGACCTGAACGTCCTTCTTAAAGTTGTTTATAGGACACGCTTCCAAAGCTGTTCCCCTGCTCGCAATTGCTGTTATTCCCCTGCCGTGCGTACAAATGCCCAGGGGCTGGACCTCCAGTCGCCCTCGCTCATTGCTCCCCTCCCCTCTTGTTACAGTTACAGAGAGAGAGAGAAAGACTATATATATATAGAGAGAGAGACTACATATATGTAGTCTTTAATTTGCCTTAACCATATTTACTGATAATTTTTCTGTATTACCAGTTGCTGAATGAACTGAAACCTGGAGGAAGACTGATTTTGCCAGTAGGGCCAGAAAATGGAAATCAGGTTATGATGCAATTTGACAAAACTATGGATGGCGAGATTGTGGAAAAGCAGCTGATGGGTGTGATATATGTTCCTCTGACAGACAAAGAAAAACAGTGGCCTCGGTAAAATATTAAAACATTTTTTTTTTGTAGTTACCCCAGAATAGTGAATTGGTGTCCTAGTTGGCTTTTGCTAGGCAAAGTAAAGCTACTAATATGAGAGTGGAATCTCTAACAAAAGCACTAAAGAGACTAGAACTATCTTCCCTTAAGCAGACAAGGAATGACTACCTTAGAAAATAAAATGAAATTTTGGAGTTTGAGCTCATTATAATTTTGCCAAAACCACTGTTCAAAAATGTTACTCCAGATAATGATTTCAGAATCTCTTTGTATCTTTCTGATATGTTTCAGTTTTAATTTTCCAACATTTAATGCTATGAATACATGGAAACTGCAAGTTAAGTTCTATTAAGCTTCATAGAACTTGCTTTCCCTAAAACATGCATGTAACTGGATTGCAGGTGTATTTATAAGTGTGAATTTATATATACTTTGGTTTAATATTGATGTTCTAAAGGGTTTTATTATGCATATTGTAACTCCAAAATTTAACAATTATTTCTATACACTTCTTTGAATTAAAATTAACAATGGTAAAATCAGTTTGTAGCCGGAAAACAAAACAAAAGAGTAAGAGTTCCTGCTTTGCCCCTCCTTTCATTCTTCCTTATTTATGCTCTAATCACAATTAATTGTTCAATCTAAAACTGGAAAGCATGAATTAGTATTAATTTACTACTCAGAATCTTCAGTATTCTGATTACTTATATAACTCTAAACAGCCACCTTTGGTAGTATTTTTAGTGACACAACCAAATATTAGCATTGACTTTTAGGAAGAAAGAATGATTGTGTGACATAATAAAAGTCAATTATTTCTTTTTCTCTAGGGGTGAACTTTAAAAGATTTAAATAGCTTATAAAGGACCTTTTGAAAATCTATGAACTATATTTGGAAAAATTGATATTTGCAGTACAGTATATATGAATGCTGATTTATCCTCTTTGAAAGTAACATTTGTTACTTTTAAGAACTTGGATGGAATTTGGAAACAAAGCAAGGCAAATTGGGTGATTCAGGAATAGCAACACATTTCACAATTATCAATAAATCTTGTGTGTACCAACGTAGAATAAACAATGGAGCTACTTTCTGTGACTTTTATAAATATGATAAGAAATGGTTTATTTGTGATTTAATATTTGGAAAGTATTTTTCATATATCCTGTTAATGCAGAAAACAGTAACAATCTTGCCTGATAATATTGGATCTGGTTTTAGATACAGCAAAACAAGTCCTGACCAAAAGTGAATAACTGTACTTAATGACCTATTTTTCTGTAGTCTATACATAGTTTTAGCTGAAGTTATACTGAACATCTGAAGGCACTTTGTGCCCCAAAGCAAAAGTATAACTTATAATGATTAAAAGCTCAGTAAACAAATATTTCCTTGAGACTTAAAGATCAATAACTGATGCCTATAACTAAGATATTTTGGGTGAACCAATAAAAACCAAGGGTTTATCTTGATGACTTAAATGCTTCTTCTATGATTCTGTGTAGGTATAAATAAATTCTAGTATTTCTGTATTCCCAATTCTTTGACAAGAAAGAATTAGGTATTCTTTTTACCCATAAATTAGACCAGCGGTTCTCAACCTGTGGGCCGGGACCCCATTTGGGGTTGAACAACCATTTCACGGGGGTCGCCAAATAATGCAGTCCGCCATTTTTTTCCCCTTTTCCTTAGCTGTGCTACTCCCTTTTTTTTTTTTATTGAAAATTTTTATAAATTTTAACAAAAAAAACAAAAGAATAACAATACAACAACAACATAGATAAAAAACAAAACAAAACAAAACAAAACAACCCTTCCCCTACCCCCCCCCCCGGAACACCCACTCCCTCCCCCCCCGGGAGCTTCCCAGAGCAGAATATAGGCTTAATTAAAAAAAAAAAAGTTATATGAAAAAAAAGAGTATAACTAAGATATATGTATGTATATAAAAATAAAAGTTATAAAAAAGCTAAATAATATTTTTTATATCCAATTTAAATTGTATAAACTTTATCCATTTATCCCAAACAGCAAAAAATTTCTCTTGCGATTGTTCTTTTAAAAAAGCCGAAATCTTTGCCATTTCCGCCAAATAAGACACTTTAAGAAACCATTCCTGCAAAGTAGGCAAAGATTCCTTCTTCCAATATTGTCCTACTAACAGCCTTGTGGCTGTAATCAAATTTAACATCAATAAATCAAATTTAACATCAATAAAACAAATTTAACATCAATATGTGCTACTCCCTTTTATTCTATTGGCTTTTGAAAGCCAACAGAATAGACTCTCTTGAATAGAGTCTAATTCTATTGGCTTTCAAAAGCCAATAGGAATTGTCCAGGCTGTCTCTGCCTGCTGAGCCCGCCAAAAGTCCCATTCTGCAAACGGTGCTGCAAGTTGTCTGCAGTGAAGGCAAGCTGTCTGGAAGCTTCCACCCCTCCCTGCTGAGCAACTACTAAAAATGTAAGCAAAAGAGGGCCAGGGGTGGGAGGTGGGAGGCCGACGGGTGCAGGGAGGGTTGCTGGCGCGCGTGGGGCCCGGTGGGTGCCTTACTTCCCTTGGGCTGGCCCATCTGGTGGCCCAGCCGGTGGTCGCCCTGCGCCGTCTCTGCCGCTTCCCAGCTACGCCTCGGCCGGCGCAGGGGGCAGCACCACGCATGCACGGTGCTCCCGGGCAAGGAAAGTCCTCGACTTATGACCGATTGGGTAGTCCTCAACTTACGACCAGTTGGGGTCACGGCATTAAAAAGGTTGAGAACCACTGAATTAGATTGTTGAAAAGAAAAATGGGAGTAGGAAATGAAGCAGATTTTTGTATAATGTGACTTCAATCTCAGTTATATTGACAAATTCTGTTCACAATCTGTCCAGACATACCTTAATTCTACATACCTTATATGTATCATGTTATACCCTTTCAGGACAAGCAACAATACTGTGGAAAACAGAAAAGAAGTAAGAAATAATGGAAAAAGAAATATTGCTGAATTTGGTTTATATAATACCATCCTCTGTACTCTTCTATATCTTTCTTTTCTCACAAACTATTTTTGGTTCTAATAATAGAAGTTTCTGCCCCACCCCATCCCATTTAACAGCCTTCTGATCTGAAGTCAGAGAAATCCATCTTTACTAATAAAATACAATGTTTTCTTAAAGGCAATAAAAGGCTGACAGGCTGACAGGAATCAATCAACATTTAAAAGGCATGGCAGTTTTAACACCTGTGTCCATACTCTTATACCTCTGCCTAGCCAGGAAGATAAAAGACTCTTAGAATTTACATCCCAATCTACCTTCAAAGGCAGGACATAACACCTTATAAAAGAGAGAGAAACAACCTGACATATCTTCACAAACATGTTCAAGGAATATTTTGCAATCCAAAATATTTCAATTTCAAAGCCCTAGACTGGTATAAAAATCCATGTACTCATCAGGTTATTTTGCCAGTCATTCCAGAAACACCAAATAAATGGAGACCTCCTTTCCAATATGCAGCCTGCCTCAGACTTATTTTCCTCTGCTGGGGTTTCCCACCTCCCCTCCAACCCCCCCACTTGGATTGAGACACATGAACCAGATTTTTCTTCCAACACTACTATGCCCATACAACACTACACACATTGCCTTTTGTTGTTCACAATGCTTATCTCTCCCACTTTGTCTTCCTCTCAACCCATTCATTCTTTCTTTATATTGTTTTCCAACAGAATCCTCATTCATTTTCTGTATAAGGCTAACCACCTCAATAAACTTTTTATGTCACTCATTTTTGAATTCAATCCATTTTCATTTAATCATTCTTAACCTGCATCCCTCCTCATTTTACTACATATACTTTCCTATTCAGTTCATTCAATTTACTGTTACAACATACCCAACTCTCATTTCTATATAACAAAGTGGACAGATATATGCTCCTGTGCACAGCTATTTTATTTCAATAAACATTCATTTCTTCAAACAAATCATATTGTTATCATTTTTCATGGAGAAGACTAAAACCTAGATTTCCCTATTCTTAGTCCAGCACCTTATTATCCCAACACACAGTGTGTTTGTATGTATGTGTGTAAAATGAGCCTTCATCAGAGCACTTCATTCATTACTTTTGTAAATATTACATAAAGTGATTCCTTATTCATTTCATTGGTTTACCACTTACTTCCTTTACATTACAATTTCCAACACAGCAAATCATAAAGCTTTATTATTGTTATATTCCAACATATAGAGATGAGGTGGTTAGAAGAAACAAAAAAATATAATCATTGCAAGCTATTAACACTTATGTAAGATAAAGTTATTGTATGAGACATACAAGGTTATAAAAGATAAAAAGGAATGGAAATGGTAGACGTGGAACATCTATGCATCAAGTGAGAGACTATGCACTAATAAAGGAAACTAGATGCACAATGAGTCTAGTCTATATTTCTGAGTCCCAAGCACAAACCAGAACCCATCATTTGACAGGTTTTGAGTGATGATGCATAAAATGACAGCACTTCATGTTCATAAGGAAGATGTTGGCCATGTGGGGTCATCTTCCCCAGGTCTTGCAAGGTTGTATCATTGACCTTTTATTGTCATTTTATTATGTTTGGTGGATGTGTAAAAAAAAAAAAAGCTGGAAAAATTTAGCAATACCTACAATGGAGGAATGGTTGGTAAAGATGACAGAACTGCCAGGAAAAGCTAAATTTGTCTGATTAGCAAAAAGACAATGTTTATATTTATTTTCAAAACCTTAGTGGTTTTTTTGCATAAAAAAGAAAAAACTGAACTTGTATTATTCTGATAGGATAGACTATAGTCACGAGGTAACCTTAGAGAGCTTAAAATATAATGCCCTGAAGATCGGAAGCGTTTTTATTTTTGATATCTTTTTTTCTACTTTTCTACCTTCCTCTTATTTTTTTTTCCTTTATGCACGTCTTAACTTTTAGTCTCATTTTTTTAAACTTCTTTTTCTCCTTTAGTATTGTCAATAAAAATATTAAAAAGAGTGAGATGGCAGTATATATTCATCAACAACTGGGCCGATAGATTTTGTTCTCTGCCACAGTTTATAGCGCTAGTTAAGTGAAACTATCGCATGACTTTAATAAATTAAAGCTTGTACTATATCACCAGCTTTAATCGTATCTTTGCCACATAGTTCTTGCTAAGGGCAGTAAAAGTCGGTTTTGGTGCATTTGGGCCACTGTGCTGCAAATGCGAATAAAGCCCTCTTTTAATTCAGATTAACCTATTCAAGTTACGATGTCTGGAGCGCACTACTAACAAACCGGATAATCTCTTCAATCAAATCATTGGAAACACGCTCCAAACGTTACTCTGCTTGGTCCTCCCGAGTTCAGCAAAACAAAATGCGCAGCCTTCCGTAATCACTACGGCATTTGTAGCAGACAGCACGTTCTTTCCGTCGCTTACTTTATTCGTCACAGACATAGAATAACGTGATTGGGTAAAGATTACGCGGTCGCGCGGGGGCAGGGCTCGATAACGCCACGTGGTTGGCTGTCCGCCTATATTCCTCAGCATGCGACCCGCGCCGTTTTGGAGATCGTTGCTCCGTTTATTCTTAGTCCGGCCGAACGCAGAGCGCGCTTCCTTCGGTATTCCAGCTGACCTTGTGCCCGGCAGAAGCATGGAGGGGAAGCCGATCCCCGAGCCTAAAGAGCGGGAAAGCTCTCCTCCGGTGGCGAAGAACAGGCGGCTGACCAGGGGGCAGGGGAAGCGGCCGGGGCCGCTCGAAGAGGGAGAGAAGCGGTACGTGCCGCCGCCAAAGAAGCGGAATACCGGCGTCAGCTTCGGAGAGGCCCATTTCGCCGAAACTAGTTACTACTTCGAAGGTGGACTTCGCAAGGTGCGCCCGTACTACTTCGACTACCGTACTTACTGCAAGGGGCGCTGGGTGGGAAAGAAGCTTCTGGACGTCTTCCACTCAGAGTTCCGGGGTCGGCCCATCGAGTACTATCTGGCCGCAGCCAAAGCCGGACGTCTGCTGCTCAACAAACACCCGTTGAAAGACCTCAGCGTCGTACTCAAGGTGAGGAGGCCGGGCGTCAGGCGAAATGCCGAAAGCTCCTGCCTTGGACCCATCCCACGCGGCGAGCGTCCGGTGGGAGAATGCGATCACGCAGCGTAGAAAAAGCCAAATCAGGCAGTGAAGGTATCGGACAAGTCCCGTAGACAGCTTTCTGGTCATAGTAATCTCTCCTCCTTCCCCTCCGCTTTTCAATATGAACATAGCAGATATAGACCTTTTTTTTTTTTAATAAGCACCTCCTAACCTGTAAGTTTTGCAGTGACGGATATTTGAATATGTGTGCATATATCATAGAATCAGGTGTGCAAAAATACCCCATCAGTGCTTGAGTTGCGTGGTTTGCACCACAATGAGGCCCCAAACTGTTACAAATGTGTCATGACTCATTCTAGGAGGACAGTTGCCATTTGTAATGTGACTTTGTTCCATGTGAAAATGCAAGGATCTGTACTTTAGGTTTGGTTTTTGCACCTCAAGAGTAATACAGTTTCATGGCTGATTTCATACAGAGGATTGTAGTCTACAATTTGATGATAGTTTATGTTTAATAGATTAAACATCAGCGCCACTTAATTGTTAGAGTTCAGTCTCTGAATGCAGACATACTGGTATTATTTTCAGTTAGTTCCTTTGAAAAATTATATGAAAAGCTAGGAACATACTCTGCGTACTGTTTCAAAAAAACATTTAGCTAAACTAATGTATAATAATTGCTTTGTTTGCAGAATAATGACTTTCTGGAGAATACCATACATCGCCATGAACCTCCAGTTACAGCACAAACAATTGAGTTTATAGAGGATAACGATGAAGTTGTGGTTGTAGACAAGCCCTCATCTTTACCTGTTCACCCTTGTGGCGGGTTTCGGCACAACACTGTCATTTTCATTTTGGGCAAAGAGCATAACTTGAAAGAACTGCATACTGTTCATCGGCTTGATCGCCTGACATCAGGTGTCCTCATCTTTGCCAAGTCTGCAGAAGTGTCCAAGAGAATTGATGAACAAGTTCGACAACGACAGGTCAAATTGCTTTTGTTAATGATATTTGTAATATACTTCTCCAACAGCATCTGTATGATATACAGATTTAACCACCATCTTTAAAGTACTGTAAGAGTGCAAGAAGGTTAATCTGAGAGAGATTCACTGCATGCTCAGTGAACTTCATAACCCAAACAAAAATTCTTATAGGACTTCCAGGACCAGAACTTTAACCTCTATATGTATCTGGTACATTCCTGAGGAGATCCTGTTTGGGATAGTGGTTAAGGCATCAGGCCAGAAACTGGAACCATGAGTTCTAGTCCTGCCTTAGATCCAAGCCAAATAGTTGACTTTGGATCAGTCACTCACTTTCAGCTGTAGATAGCAGGCAATGATAACTCATTTCTGGAATCTTTCCAAGAAAATTGCAGGGACCAGTTCAGGAAGTTGCCAGGAGTCAACATTGAACTAAAGGCACAAAAAATCTGGAAATGGCTAAGAAGCCATCTATCTGATACCACGCATTCTTTGATAGATGAGCTGTAAATTTAACAAGTTCTGGCAATTTAAATGTTTCCTTAGCTAGTAAACAAATGAATATCAGTCTCTGGTTTTTGAGGTGCTTTAAAGCCAATTGAAGGTGCTTCAAACTTGCTTCCTGTCCACTTCAATATTGATACACTTTTAGCCTCAATACAGAACATGGTTAATATATTAACTAGATGTCAAACAATTTCTCCCTTGTCGATTCAGATGGCTCTGACTCTTAACCTTTGGGCTCTAAAGACCAAGCTGTTTCCCTAGACCAAGGGTAGGCAACCTTGGCTCTGGCTCAGGAATTCTGGGAGTTGAAGTCCACGAGTCATAAAAGAGCCAAGATTGCCTACCCCTGCCCTAGACATTCAGGCGGGGAAATTGGACTAGCCCTATTGATAGGATTTTTATGAATGGAAGATGTCATTCCTCAAGCAGTCATTTTTACTTGTTGGGTATTAATTTTTATACACCATCCAGATACACTGTTGTGAGGTAGATGGCCATATAACTGCATAGCTGCATAAATGATATTCTGAAATACATATTCCTTCTACATTCTATGCTCAAATTATTATTTTTTCTTTCCCCAATTCTAATAGCTGGAGAAAGAGTATGTATGCCGTGTGGTTGGAGAGTTTTCAGAAAATGAAGTGATCTGTGAAGAACCTATCTTGTCTATGTCTTACAAAATGGGTTTGTGTCGAGTGGATCCCAAAGGCAAGCCATGTAAAACTGTCTTCCAGCGCCTGAGTTACAATGGCAAGACTAGTGTGGTAAAGTGTTTCCCATATACTGGCCGTACCCATCAGATCCGTGTCCATCTACAATTTTTGGGGTACCCTATTGTCAACGATCCTATCTACAATAATGAAATATGGGGTCCTGAAAAGGGTAAAGGAGGCAGTGTTAATAAAACTGATGATGAATTGCTTCAGTCATTTGCAGAAGAATATGTCTCAAAAGAGAGTCTGGGAATCTTGGACATTGTTGAGGAGGACCTGAAAACCGTTTTAGAAGATAAAAAGCAGGAAACTCCAGAAAATGGAACAAAGCCTGTACAGGTCACTACCGCAGTTGATCATTCTGACAACATTGCAGAATCAAAAGACAAAGAAAAGATGCTTTCTCTGAATTCTGGCCCTCAAGCAAATGTGCACAAAACTGAAAATAGAGAAATGGGTTTAACTGAGTTCCAAAATGAGGTGGACCCATTATGTGAAGAGTGCAAAATGGTAAGGCCTGATCCATCACCCAAAGAGTTAGTGATGTATCTCCATGCTTTACGCTATAAAGGAATGGAATTTGAATATTGTTCCAAAATGCCTGCTTGGGCCCAGGATGATTGGGAAGAGACTTGAATCTTATTTTATAAAGTGAAGAGCGGGTGAGAAACTTTCTGCAAATGGAGTGGAAGAAGAGTCAGTATATCTGAAGAAACTGTTGCAAAATTTTCTTTTTATTGCAAGAAAATGAAATAATAATTTGGAGAAGCAATATTTCTTACCAAGTAAGAATATACAAGCAATCCATGAGTTATAACAATATTGGAACTTGCCCATTACGGTACTGTTGGAGTCGGGATAAATGAGCTTTATCCTTGCTCATCCCAGTGCATTCGTGAAACGAATCTTCAGGTCATTAAGTGTGCATGGGATGCCTCAGGGATGACCCTTGAGGGACTAGTACAGGACCATCCCTGCCTTGGGCCTTCCAAGGCCTCTCCCCACCCCTGAGATAGCCCATGCTCCGCTTCCCACCCTTAGAGTCCTCACAACCAGTTGGGCCTCTATTTCAATACTATACATTTCTGTACTCTCGTCTATTTTATTATGACTGCCACTCAGCTGCTCTGTTCCTTAATAGAGCAGCATAGCGTCTCCAATAAATTAACTTAATAAAAGGGCTCATTAAACAGCTGCAATCATAGTTAATGTGTCTTATGGGGAGCTTGTAGTGCCTATTTCATTGCTTTTAAAAAGCTGTGTAATAATAAAGCTGTTCCAGTTTCCTGGGAGCAATCATTGGTTCTAAAAATCTGATGAAACAGCTCTTTCCAATAAATACACACATTAAAAACATCTGTTGCTAATTACTTGTGCAAAGTTGACGTGATTTAAAATACCTGAAGCATGAATTCTGGGAGAGCTGAATTCCAGCCCTGAACAAAATGGAGTAGACAGTTGTAATACCTATGAAAAGTTAGGGTTAGAGGAATCATATTTTCCCAGTGACAAACTATTTCCTTTTGAATGGTTTGTATGTGGGAAATGCCAGCCAGTTAATTACCAATTTTGTTTAATACATTTTGAGTAATGGAATTATTAGAGTATGCCAAGTGTTTGAAAAATGCACTCTGCTTTGCAGGCAAGAAGTTTAACTAGGGACCCTCACTTTGATAGGAGAAATACAGTGTGAGATATTTTTCACAAGTGTTCTACTCAGTCTGACCATTCCAATAGAAAAACAGGAATCCCATGCAGATTTATATTCGTATGAGTGGCTATGATCACTTTCATATATAATGAGATGGCAAAAATGAAGTTAAGATATGTAATTGATTCAGCTCAGTGAAACTGAAAGCAGGCTGGAAATCTCTGGATGCCTAGAAATAACATTCACCTCTGGCAAGTACGAGGGTATGGGGGGGGGGGAAATAGTGTAAACTACATGTGTATATGCTAGTAATTTCTGACTTTGGCATGAATTTCACAAGACAGAAAAATTGGGAATACTCAAGTTCAAAAGTAAGTTTCAGGTCAGGCTGTCATTACAAAAGTACGATGTGAGTATTATACATTTGTTCATAGTATCTTACAAATATAATCACTTGTTCTCAGAAAAATATTAGAACAGTGGTTCTCAACCTGTGGGTCGGGACCCCATTTGGGGTTGAACGACCATTTCACGGGGGTTGCCAAACAACGCAGTCCGCCATTTTTTTTCCCCTTTTCCTTAGCTGTGCTTCTCCCTTTTATTCTATTGGCTTTTGAAAGCCAATAGAATAGACTCTCTTGAATAGAGTCTAATTCTATTAGCTTTCAAAAGCCAATAGGAATTGTCCAGGCTGTCTCTGCCCTGCTGAGCCCGCCAAAAGTCCCATTCTGCAAACGGTGCTGCACCAGTTGAGTAGTCCTCGACTTACGACCGGTTGGGGGGTTGCGGCATTAAAAAGGTTGAGAACCACTGTATTAGAAGATTTGAGTATTTTTAAGTATATAATGCAGATTAATAAGTGATACTAATAGATCAGGGGTCCCCAACCCCTGGGCTACAGCCCACTACTGGGCCGTGAGCCGTTCAGAACTGGGCCGCAGAAGCAGTGGGTGAGTGCACACACACATCATCACTTGCACGAGCAGCACATGAGTGCATGCATGCACTCCATTTGCGCAAGTGGTGGGCCTGCATGTCCTTGCCAGCCACTTGCATGGAACCATCCACTCCCCCACCACCACCAGTCCGCAAAGCTGGAAAGTTTGGGGAACTCTAATAGCTTATTGAAAATACTTTTAGTCTATGGGGAAAAAACGGGGAAATGAATATAAAATTTAACGGTTTATGTTACAATATTTTACAAAATTTACAGGTTTATAGAACGGTCAGGCTCCAAGATTCCCTCTTTTACAGTCAATTCACTGTGGCGATAATAGTGAGGAAAAAGTTATTATTTTTCTGGTCTTATAACAGAAAATTGGCTCTGTTCTGGGTGGGCCATATCCTCCTGGGGAGAAACAATTTAGAGGGCCATCTTCAGGTCTATTCATCTGCAGCAGCTTTCAAGGCAACTTCTGACAAGGTTGCTCAGATCTGTTCTGAGTTGGATTCTGCCCTGAGCAGAGTCCTTTGAATTGTAAACTCAGCTATTTGTACACTGATTCCATGTCCATCCTGCTCTGTTAGGCCTGCCTGAGAAGTGTCATGGGAGTTGGGCCAAGAAGTGGTCAATTTGTCCTTGAATGAAAAGGTGGCCTTGATAGATGATACTGGATAATTGTCCAATTCCTAACATCCTCTTTTTGGAGAAAGTGGTTTAGTTGCAATTTCATAGGATTCTGGGGGGAATGGATTACAGTATCTGATCCTTTAAAGATTGAAGCTTAGGTGTAGAAGTAAGGTAGCAGTGATTGCATTTCTGTTCATTTCTGAAAGGCTCAGAATGGGAGTGGCCACCCCTCAATTCTCAGCAGTTGTGCTGTGTCTTGGTTTCCTTTAGTCAAGCAATGGCATTTGATAGGATCAGAAAATGTGCCTTCTCCAATGGAGTAGTCCACCCACTCATCCACCTTCCCCCCAAAATTGGTCCAGACTCTGTTGGCTTTCAAAAGGCAATGAAGATCAGCTGCCCCATGAGCATTGGGCCAGGATCCTGAGCAATTCCCACCCCCCCCAAAAAAAAAACAAATTATCCCAACAGAAACTATATTAGCTAGTTTAAGCTAGTTAAAATGTCAAGCATGTAGAACTGTATTTTAAAACTAAAAATGAATCTCTACTAGCAAGAGCTCTCTTGAAAGGAATCCAAAACTCATGAAACACTCATAGCACTGAAATAATTCTAATTAGCTTTATGGAGATGTTGATCCTAACCTGCAATGTGTTCTGTTTAGAGATTGATGTTTGTGACTTGACTTTTAGTTTTGTTATAAATTGCTCAGAATTGTTTTAAATTGGGTGGCTAAATCAATAAATCAATCAGCTATATTCTAAAAATATGGAATTTATTTACATGTCTGAAAAGATCAAAAGTTTGATGAAATGTATTCGCTCTCAGCCTTTGAAATGACTCTTTATTGATGTCATGGAAAAATAGAATAATTTAGTCCATATTTTCTTTGAGACTTAGGCGTAGAAGTAGTCGTATTTGCAGTTGTATTAAAGCAATTAAATGAATAAATAAATTTCTGATTTCCAGTATTCAGCTTTCATTTGCACTGTGAGGGTTAATTGTAGTATTTATTTTTTTTAAGTTGTATACTAACAGCAGTAATGAAAAATAACAAGATCGTTCTAAAAAACAGACGGCAGTAAAATAAACACAACGACGAGGATGGGATTCGAACCCACGCGTGCAGAGCACAATGGATTAGCAGTCCATCGCCTTAACCACTCGGCCACCTCGTCGCGGAAGCCTTTCCTCTCTCCAACCTTATAAGAAGCGATTCCTACCAATGGCTTTCTCCTATTTAGTTTTACTTATGTATAGGCTCTCGTTTCTAAGCAGCGACAAATCAAAATGTAGGATTTTGTGCGGACATAAGACAACCGCTCGGATTCTAAAAAATTATTTACTCGGATTTTTGCTATTCCTCCTTCTCCTCCCTCCCCCCCCGCACATTATTTCGGCGTAGAACACTCGTGGCCACTTGGGGGGGACGGGGGTGGAGCATGATGTTGTACGGCAAGAGGAAACCGCCATGATGGAAAGGAGCCTTCAGGAGCCTTAGAGGCGGCGGCGGCGCATGCGTGAAGCCTGGCGGTTAGTTTGAATCTGACGGCTGTGGCGGCCTCAATTCTTGCAGCTGTGGCAGCAATGACTGGGAAAGTCGATCGATCCTGACAGCGAAAAAGGGACCTGGATTTAACCGGAAGCGGGAACGGAGCCAGTGTGTGGTACTTAGGACAGGCGCGAGTTCATGATTAGGTAAGGCGGGTTTGCGGCTGGTTTCCCCAAGGCTCGTCGGAACCAAACCTTTTTCCGAAACACCGCCCTCCCCCGAAGCCCTTTTCCTCACGGCTAGCTGGGGAAGGCAGCCGGAGGCCCGCCGCGAATGACTCCATTTTCTTAGGAACTTCCAAACAGCCTCCCCCCCCCATCTTTCCCTCCCTTTTTCTGTCGAAGATTTCTGCCCGCGGCCCACCTAGCGGAGCAGCAGTGACTCGTGCTGTAAGTGGGGAGGGGAGGGGAGGGGAGGGAAGAGGGCTTTATTTCTGCCCGAGCGAGAATCCTCGTCTTCGTCAGGGAGGCTTGACCGTAGTAGCTTCTGCAGGCTCAGCCTCTGTCCCGACCCTGCGTTTCTTCGGAACTCTTCCCTGCGGCCCCTCTTTTGCCAGGGACAAGCTCCCGGGCAAACCAATGCAGAAATGCCGAAGGACTAGGGTTGTCTCTTCTCTACTCAGATGTTCCCCTAAGCAGGCCCCGTGGCGAGTCCGGGTCCGAGCAGAGGTACTTAGTGGTCCCCTCCTTCTGGGGAAGGCCGCCGCCCTGGGGACGGACGTTCAGTGGCTGGGCCTTCCAGATTCCCTTCTGGGAACAAGGGCCATGCAGGGAGAGTTCATCCCTGGTCTCAGGTTCACACTTGGAAGGTATCCCATTCAAAATACAGGTAGTCCTCGGGTTGCAACAGTTTATTTAGTGACCGTTCAAAGTTACAATGGCATTGGAAAATGTGACCTAGGGCCGGTTTTCACAGTTACAACCTTTGCAGCATTCCTATGATCACATGATCAAAATTCAGATGCTTGGCAACAGGTTCATATTTATGACTCTATGTGCCAAGGTCATGTGATTAGATTTGGTGACCTTCTAACAAGCAAAGTCAATGAGGAAGCCAGATTCACTTAACAACCGGGTTATTAACTTATCGGCTGCAGGGATTCACTTAACAACTGTGGCAAGAAAGGTCATAGAATGGGGCAAAACTCACTTAACAAATGTCTCACTTAACAAAAGAAATTTTGGACTCAATTGTGGTCGTAAGTCGAGGATTACCTGTACTGTATCGATCCATGCTTGAAATGATCACGTGTTCAAAGCAGCAAAGCTTATTAGTTAAAATTCAATTCAAGTAATTGTTTCAGTATTTTAAGTTTTCTCTCAGGGTCTTGTTTGCTAGGTCATTGACAAAAAATATTTTCTCATTTACATTTTATGACATAAGGTGTGTTTATATTGTTTCCACCCTGGAGAGTTCCCAAAGGTAGCTTGTGCTTTGACACTGTATTTTGATTGACTAATGTCCCATTGTGTTTTGATTTAGTAATACTGCAGATACCAGAGTCTTTCAAAATGGACAGGATATATTCTGAGATGAATGAGGAAAAGTAAGTTGAGCTTACATTGATAGGTTTTTGTTACTTTATGTAGTATACAGCAATACAATTATTGCTGTTCTTACGTTTTAAATGCTGTTTTTATTTTATCTTTTGAAATAGTAACTATTTTTATTGTATGCATACATTTAATATATACACATACCCCTATGCATATTGTTGGTAATAAATGGATATTAGCTTTCATGTAGTTTTCTTTTATTTTATTTTAGAGACTTTACAGATGGCACGAATAAAAGAAGAATTTCATCAGTAAGTCTAACTTACCAGTAATTTTCTCTGTAGTAGAAAGTAATAGTAGTTTATTTATAACAAGTGATCTAACAAAAGTGTTTCTTTATAACATGAACAATTTATCAAAAAGATGTAACAACTGATGTTCCTTGATCTTATGTCTACTGAATTAATAGATATACTACAGTATATTTTTCTATTATTTTAGAAAGTTTTGTCATAAAGACATATTATTTTCTAGGTCTAAGGGTTAAGGCAGCAGGCTAAAAAGCAGGAGACCTTGAGCTCAAGTCCCGCCTTAAACATGAAAAACAGGCCTGGTGAAGGAGGAAGGCGTGTTAGATATGTTCACCACCTTCAGTTATTTGTAAAAATAATAAAGGCAGGATATAAACGAACTTACTGAACAACCATGGAAGACTACTTTCATGGGTGGCTAAACAAAAAAACAAAATATTTTCAGCTGAATATACTTTGTTATTACGATGATTTCTGATCTGAAAAGTCAACTGTAGGATAGCCCTCTCATTGACTGATTTTTTTTAATCCTGGCATTTTTAATTGATTTATCATAGAAGTGATGTCAACTCTTAGCAACCACACAGATTTTTCTCCAGAATGATGTGCCCTCAAGCTGACTACTGAATTTCTTGCTTTAAATAAACAGAAAATTTTTCATATCTGTGCAAGGCAAGAAATGTTTTGCAGAATATTCAGTCAGGTTTTTGTAACAGTTGCATACCAAAGAGGTTACTTTGTTTGAATTATTTTGCAATTCTAGCTGTGGAAAATAATGCCACAATAGTGTGGATTTCATATTTTATTGCATTTCATAATCTGCTCAATAGAATGGACTATTTGGATATTAGTTGAAATATTTACGTTATTATACGCTTACTAATAAGATGTGAATTAGTATCTTGTTTTTTATGTGTATCTACAAGACATGACCTTCAGGACATTTCTTAAATAGTTGAGGCATGTTAGAATTCATTTTGAATCTACTCTTTGAAGTTTTCCAAAATGGGTTGCTAGTTGGATTACAATAATTGGACTATTTAAGAAATATCCTGCAGGTAAATGCTTTCAGTCTTGGAAAAGAGAGAGGCCAAATAATAGAGGTAAGCTATAGTTTTATACTATATGTTAAAATCAGTGTACCTATCATTACGAAAACAACTGCTTACTTCAGAAATTAGCTTTTGGCAATGTGTACATTATTTTCTGAACTCTATTTATCTTCTTTTTAGATTTTAAAAGCTCCCCGAACACCTCTTTGTGACTTAGGCGCAGGAAATGAACTTACTCAGGTAACCACTAGCATTTGTTGACTGGAAGATAGTCTCATAAAAAAACCCTCATATTTTATAGATTATAGTGACTATACAAGAAAATAATGTGGCATATTTATGTGGGAAAAATCCAACTGAAGACAGTGAAATATAGTTCCAGGGAAGTTTATTTAGGATAAGGTTGCAATGTTCTGGGAATATTATATACCATGTTATTCCTTAATGTAACTGGGATTGTATTCTATCACAGACCTTAAGCATGTACCTTGATTGCAATTATCTGTAAAACTCTATTCTAGTGCTATAGAAAATTCAATTTTTCTCCTGAAAAGTACCAAACTGGGACAGCATATAATTTTTTTGACTTATTTTAGACTCTAGTCACATCTAGAACACAGTGAATCATTTCCAGTTTTGGAAGATGTGCTTCTAGAAAATTACAGGCCACTCCCAGAATAGTCAGAATAATGTGTTATGGAATAAAAATTAAACATTCTACATCTTAAACATAGTGTTCTGTCCATTCCTGCTGAACTGTACTGCAAACACAGCACATCTCCATGCCAAGACAATTTTAAAATATATTCCTTATCAGGGCTCTCAATTCTATTACTGTAGAATTGTGCTGCATTGCCAAGACTGAGAGGAAATCAAATCATGCTCATGGTTTTTGTTCCATGTTTACCTGTGATTAAATACCATAGATACATCTATCCCTTAAACTTTGTTCAGATATAGGCAGTAAGTTATAAGTCACCTTACCCATTTCGGATGTTCATCAAAAGAGAATTTGCCTTTGAATTTAATTTATCTTGCGTGTACAGGAATGCAATGTTGAGAAACGTCAGAAAAATTCCAGGCGGGTGAGTTTTGCAGAGACCATAAGGTGAGTGTGTTGAAAAAGCACTTCATATATAAATGCATTTCCTGAATATAAAAAACAATATATGATATAGAAGCTACAGAATATTCTTCAAGAAGTAATACTGAGATGTTTCAATTGTTTTAATATAAATATTGCTTAATTTAATACAAAAGAAAGAAAGTAAAGAGGAATCTCTTAAGTACTAAATAAGATTAAGTTGTCTTCATTTCTAGATATTTAATAATATGTAGTTAAATTTCTGACAGTTAAGTCAATTCATTTAATATTAGCAATCCAAAAAGAAAGAAAGTATGTATATTAGGATATGCAGTACATCTGTTAAAAACAGATGCCGCATTTTTCAAAGAGTCTCCAGTTTATGCCCAAAAACTGCTTGGTAAGAGTAACTTTCCAGGCACTAAATAGAACCAGGTTTGAAACAGTACAGGTTAATTCAAAGTCAGGACTAACTACAAGAAAAAAAAAATTTTTTTGTATGTTAGCAAAGTGTATGTCTCGTGAAATAAAAATACTGTTGTGTTAAAAATAGTTACTTCTAAATTTATATTCTAAGTATATATTCTAAATTTATCACTGCTTTTAGAGTCTTTCCACATGATCCTCAAACTTTTGTCGAATTAAATCATGCAGGTGAGAACTTTTTAATTATTCTTAAGTTGTAGATATGGGTAAAATAGATGTATTACATCAGCGGCCCCCAAGCTTTTGGGCACCACGAACCGTTTCCACGGAGAGAAATTTTTCTGTGGACTGGAGAGGGTGTGGTTTCGCGTGCTGCCTACATCCTGCTTGTTTGCAAGGCCTGGTTTCTAGCATGTTGTGGACCAGTGCCAGTCCATGGACCAGGAGTTGGGGACTGCTCTATTACATTACTATGATTACCACATATGTTTCTTATAACTTTGGTCATTTTTCACAATGTTTTGTTTTAGAACCTTCAAAAGAAGAAGCAAGAAATCAAAGTCTGCTAAATGAGTAAGTTATTGAATAAATAGAATGTCAAATAATTTCTTTTAAAATGGCCCCATCACTCTGTTTTGTATGCATTCATACTAATATTAGGACTGTTTGTTTAGTATAGTGGTTCTCAACCTTTCTAATGCCACGACCCCATAATACAGTTCCCCATGTTGTGGTGACCCCCAACCACTTATACATCACCGGGTGCCAGGGCGTGGCCAAAGAAAAGGGGGAAAAATGGCGGACAGCTTTGTTTGGCGACCCCCGTGAAATGGTCGTTCGACCCCAAATGGGGTCCCGACCCACAGGTTGAGAACCACTGGTTTAGTACATTTAATACATTCATCTTTATCATGTTATTAGTGTTCCAGTTCACAATTCTAAAACTGATGACTAAAGGAAGGGATCTATATTTGCAATTGGAGCTAGAAGGATTTCACTAATAAGATGTTTTCAGACAAATCAATGTTCTAAACAATATCCATGAATTTGTTATTAAATGCTAAATTTCTTAGAAACAGTCCATTAACTCCAGTATTTACAATTTCAAACTATATTCCTGTTTGCTTTGCTTAAGAAGCCTTATAATAAAAAGTTAATTTTAAGTCGGGTTTTTTTCCCCAGAAATGAAGAACCAGAAGCTACCAAGTATGAAATAACTGGTAATATTTATTTTATTACTTTTTATTTGTGCAAGTATTTCAATTTATATGGCCACCCAATAAATAAATATTCAAAGTTTTATTGATAGCTGTGATTCATAAAAACATCGTTGCTAAGCAGTAATATGAAATATATTGAATTTGTGACAGAGAAGCTTCTGAATCCTAATAGGCTCACATCAAATGGTTATATGGTAAGGCTGTTAAAATCAATATATTGTAGTAATTCATTTCTGAGAAAATGAAGAAAACTGCCAATTTTCTGAATGGCAGATAAGTTGGATATATGAAAAAAAATGGTAGAACAAATTGCATAGAAAAAAAAGAGCTAAATCAAGGGGCAATATTAGCTGATGTATTAGCAATAGCACTTAAACTTATATACTGCTTTACAGCATTCTCTGAGCAATTTACAATGTTAGCATATTGCACCCAACAATCTACGTCCTCATTTTACCTATCTTAGAAGTTTGGAGGGCTGAGTCAACCTTGAGGCAGTCAGGATCAAACTTCTGGCAGTAGGTGGGCAAAGTTAGCCTGCAGCACTGCATTCTTACAATTACACCACCAAGGATCCTCATATAGGGAAGAATGTAACCCTATATGAAGGTGCAAGTGAAAAATAAGACTTGAGGGCATGGTCATTTGCAGGGTGAACAAAAAAAAGTTTGTTAAATCATGCAACTGACACAACTTACATATTTATCTCGGACTTCATGAGTTTTAGTCCTGCCTTAGACATGAAAAACAGGCTTGGTGACTTTGGGCCACTACTCTCAGCCCAAACCACCTCGCAGGAAAATTGGAATAGGAAGGAGCATTAGGAATGTTTGCTACCTTGAATTATTTATAAACAATAATAAAGGCAGGATAAAAATGAAAAAAATCAAATAATTATATATTTTGTCCGATTATGGATATATCATTGTGGCTTGTAGTGGGCACCGCTGCTTGAACAATAGAAAGTAGAATGGAAACCAATGGGATACAAGATGGATACTATGAAGAAATTTCTTGCATCTAGAAAATTTAATCTTTTGCTAGCATTAGGTTAGGGCAGAGAATAGATTGATTATATATATACATAAAGTATGTGACATGTCAAAATGCTAACCAGAAGGATTTAATCCTATTTTCTTCCTCAAAGGGATGAATACTTTACTTCATGCTCCTATCCACACTTTGCAACAAATGGAGGTAAAATACACCAAAATTTAATCTTTGTAATCTATCATATCAATTTAATATATTACAATAAGATTTATTGGAATGATTAAAAACACCTATAAACATCACTAGAGGTTTTCCAAAAGAAGGTAATGCTGCTTCCAGTAATTCCATGAGTTGAAGGATAACTACCCTGTCAACATTCCTTTCATAGTTGCTTATTTTGGCAGCAACTCAAATAATACTTTATTTAAATGGATGATAGTTTATTTCATTCAAATTTCTTGAACAAAAGATTTAACTGGAGAACTTTGGCTTGTAAATTACAATGTCTGTTTATACATAAGAGAAATTCAAATTTAAACATTTTCAATGTTTGTTCTGATTTAGATTCCACACTGATTTTTAATTCCATATTTTTCAGTTTATATTCTTGACATACAAGTCCTCAAACTTTCTCTTCATTTTTCTGCCTTCATGTAATGTATTTAAACATGATTCTGCCAGTAAACATATTTTGAAGATTTTCTCCTTTCTTTAAAATAACTTTATAAGAATGACTGTTGAGAGCATTTGGAATTTGTGATGCCCCGAGTACTTATTAAAACTATCTTTTCTTTGAAATCTGAGACATAATTGATACATAAATATATGTAATTGATCTGAACTATTCTGCAGATGCCTCATTTTTATCTCCCCTTCATTTATTGCAGATAATAATTGCTTAGTTTCAAAATTCAGAGTTCTTTCTTTTTTTTTTTACAGTTTTCAGTTAAAAGCAATCACATTTGAGCCCAAAATTGTCAAACCATTCCCATTTTTATGAAATTCAAAAGATGAATTTAAAATAAGTAGTGTATTTTAATTTGTTTATAGAAAGGACTGAGCATTGGTTTTCAGTATAACATAGGTTTGTAAAACATAGCTTAAATATAATTAGTAGTTAAAATATCAGCAATTTCTTCTTTTTTATAGTGTCTTGATGCCAACCCTATCCAAGAGTTGAACATCATGGATAGAACACAGATTTTTTCAGAACAAAATGAAATGGATATGACATCTGGTCACACAGTCTTGATTACCCACGACACCAAAGTCTGCCAAGAAAGTGACAAACCCAAGAAAATAAATTTTGAATCATTTTTGTCTGAGATAAAGCCTGGAAAAAAAGCTTCACAAGTTACTGAAACCTGCTTCTCATATAGCCCTGTAAAAATGAATGAAAGCAATTTATCTCAGAAGACAAATACTGAAAAGACACACAAAATTAATTTAGGAGACTTTTTGGAAAGTTTAAGGTCCACTAAATTATTTTCAACGCCATGTAATGAGATTACCCCTTCAGGTGAAGCAGCTTTAGAAAGAAATACTTATTCTTCCAAACAAACTGCATGTTCTCATCTGCAAACAGAAAATTGCAACATGACTACTGTCTTTGGAGGACTTGATGATAATAGGCAACACACTGAAACCTCTGCTGTATCTATTGAAAAATTATTTCTTTCTGCTCCAAAGCAACTAGGATGTGCTGAAAGAATGGATGCAATTACTGCCAATATAGGAAGACTATTGCCATCTGGAACTAGCACAAGTAGTATGATAAACCAGCAGACTCTTGGAAAGGATAATTGGGTTACTCATAGCACAGTTAGCTGTACACTAAGGACTTCAAATTATCAGCTTGGTATTCAGCAAAAGACAAATAGGTATCCCAGTGAAATAAATATAAATAACAAGGAAGCAAACATTAACCACAATTCTGCAATCAAGATAACTAGCAGGAACACCTCACCCTCACAAAGTAGTTTTGGAACTATTACAGAACCCATGTGCCTTTCTTCTGTTACTTCTCTACCTGTTCTCTATGGTGATAAAACTAATTTCTCTGAAGATATGGAAATGACCAAGAATTGTACAGGTTTAATCTGGCAAGTACATTCTAAAGGAACAGATAGCCCTGTTCATGGCTTAGTTCAAAAACAGAGAAATGATGTTTTCGAGCTAATGGACAGAACTAATTTTAGAGAGGTTGATATGGACATTACAAAAAATCATATTTCCATGAATTCTTATGTAAACAGTATGCACCCTTCTAACTCAGTCAATAAGATGACTGCTGCAGATCAGGAAAATGATTATGGTAACATGGAACTTTTAAACCAAAGAGGAAATCTTAGCTCTGCAAAAAACATAAATACAAGTCAAGTTTCCAAGAGTTTTAAAAAGCAGATAGAGACTCCATTAATGCCATATGCTACTAGTGGTATCACTAAGTGGACTAACTCAGCAGTAGGAGATAGTACAATTAATACAACAGTTGGGCTTTCAAACAATGTAGTATCTTTAATACCTGAACATGAAAATACCTTCACTTTCAGTAAGAATATGGAAATAAGTAAAGCTGCAGGATCCTTAAGACATAATTCTCTGAAGCCTGTTGCATTCCGGGATACACCACAGCAGTTGACAGGTGCTAGTAGGAAAAGCATAACTGATTCAGATTCTGATAGGTTTATGGCATTGCCACTGAGTGAAGACAATGAAATGGAGATTACCAAGAGCTGTACGGTGCAAGTAAATTACAACATGCAGCAGTATGACAGACCCACTGAAGTGTTTCCCTTAGAATCTGTAGACAAAACTACTAATATATATAATGATATGGATGAAACTAAACCTGTAACATGCATAATAAATCAGCATCTCGAAAATTCTGGTTCCCAGATTATGCAAAAGCAAAATAAATCTGGTAGAACTAGATCAACCCAAGATAGGACTATTGTGTTTTCCCTCAGTGACGGGAATGAAATGGACATTACTAGAAGCTACACAGTAGCATTAAACCATGATGCTGTCACCTATTCAGAAGATAGGCCTGTTCTATCAATTGTACCTTCAAATAAAACTCTGCTATCTACATTAAATAATGATGTGGAAATAACTAATCCTACGGCAAGTGAAACTCTTAGAAGTATACCTGACTTTCTTAATGTGCCAAAGCAGAATGCAGAAACTGGAAGGAAAATAATTGAATCAGATAGTGATACTTCTGTTGCATTTCCTTTGATTGCAAACAGTAAACTAGAGTTTAGGAAGAGCCTCACAGAGGCAGTAGAAAGAACTCAAGAACAAACTTCATCTTCTGAAGAGAATACCAACATTAATAGATCAAATAATATAGCAGTAAATAAAAGCATGTCTTTTGTTCCTGCAGATAAAACTCTAATGTTTGTGCATAATAACGACATGGAAATAACTAAACCAGTAACTATGACATCTATCGAAGATACTGGCTTTGAGACTTTGCAGTTAAAAGACAAAGAAAATGGCAAAGCAATTCTAGTGAAATCTGCCAAGGAAGGAACTGATGTGTGTTTGCTGGATGAAAATGAGATGGAAATGACAAGAAGTCATACAGTAGCAGTAAACTATGATATCCAACAAGCTAAGACGGCCCCTCAGAAATTGTTTTTAGATTGTGCAAATGAAACCAATAAGTCTGTACATAATAATTATGAAACAATAAGTAAATACTCAAGTTTTGTTCCTGCAGAAAACATGATTATAAGCAATAATGATATGGAAATGACAAAATCTTTATCAGCTGAAATTTGCAAAAATAGTCTAAAACCTTTGCCACAGAACTGTGAGTCTACCTTAGTAAACCCAGTTAATTCTAGTGTTTTTGCACAACAACATAATGAAATGGAGATTACAAAATGCCACACGGTATTAGTTAACCATGAGGATGTCTTCCATAACAAAAAGACTCTGCAAATATCTGTTCAGGATAATATGGGTACTGCAGGATTTGCTACATTTGCTAAAAATCCTGAAGAAAATTTTCATAAGAATAAGACTGAACCAGAAAAGAATGCTGAATGGGAGTTCTCTTCAAATCAAACAGCTACTGAACCAGTAAATACTAATATGCACACAGTATTGTTTGATAACAAAACAATTGAATATTGCCAGGTGTCTAGCCAAACTAAGCAACTTTTTCCTTTCAATGAGACTAACGCCTCCACATCTTATCGGGATGGCATAGAAGCTACTAGCTTGCACTCTGATACTATAAGTTGTGGGAATCTGCAGGAATTTAAGAAAGAGATGCTAGAAAAAAATATGGAACAGAATCACGAGGAAAAGACAAATGATCTGGAATTTATCAAAAAACACACAATTACCAACAAGGAACATAATTGCTATGTGCTGTCTGTTGAAAAACAGATACCAAGGACCTCCAGAATGTCAAAAGAGAAAACAGCTGCCTTTTCAGATGATGGGAACATGGAGGTAACTAGCAACTATACAACAGGAATTGAAAGGATGTTTAGGAGTGATAGAAATGAATGTGAGTTACATTCCCTTGCTATACCTAATGCGGAATTCTCTGCTTCAATAGTGGATTGTGAAAATAAATTAAATATTGACAAAACTACATCTGAAAAGTCCATTGTCCAAGTACAGCAGAACATTTTGAATACTAAAGAGAGACAACTAGAGTCTTACACAACTGAAATTAATAATCATGCAAAGGAAATTGTATCAAATATAGATTCAAATAAAAAGAACAAAATTATATTTCCTATCCAAAAGTCCTCACTAGTGCCAATCCCATCTGATGAAATTGCCCTTGATTTAGACAGAGAGAAAAACCTGTTGGAGAAAAGCAAAATGGAAAAAGATGACCATAAAAAATTATCTCAATCAAGACAATTGGATGATATCACTATAAAAGCAATGGATGTTCTTCCATATGATGACAAAATCAGAAAGAAACCTGAATGGGGAAGCTTTTCAAAAGATCAACATAGCGACTTGAAATCCAGTCCCATAAATATACTTCCAGTGGAAGAGCCAGTCATTTTAAAGAAAGGATCTAGTGTTATCAGCAATTGTCCAAAGTTACAAGATGCCGAGAAGAAACCAGAACTTGTTCTGTTCTCTTGTGATGCTGTGTCCAGTTTTAGTGAAGAATTGCCGAAGCTGATAACGAAGCCAGATTGCTCCTTGAAGTTGAAAGAAGACAGAAGAACCGAATCCAATGCAATGGCTTCTAAAGCAGGGATAAATACAAGTTCTACTGAGGGTATGCCTCTTAATGTACCTTTAAGTACAGATAACAGTAAAATAAGAAGAATACCCTTGGCTATCTTCCCACCTAAATTACCAAATAAAAGAAAATCTGCATTTTCCAACATAGAAGCTACTGCTGCCAAGCTGGATAAAAACTCAGAAATTCAAGATTCCGAAGTCTCTTTACTTACAAAGAGTTCCTCAGAAAAAATAACCCAGAAACTGCCTTCTTTTTACATAGATGAAGAACTGCTTCCTTCATATGCAGAGGAAATGGATTCTAATGAATCTTCCTGCCATGAAGGGCCAGAAAAATGTCCTGATGAGATAAATGAAAAAATAATTGTTAATAATGAAATGTTTGAAACTAATCAAAAATTAAAGAGAGCTAGAAATCAAGAAAATGAAGACATTCAAAAAGAAAAAAAATTCAAGAAAGACATGGACTGGAATGATATCGCAGAACAAAAGGAGGTTGGTAAAAGTTTACTATTTTGGTGGGTTATTGCAAGTCTGTGGATTAAAAAATAGTTACCCAGCAATAGGATTTTATTTTAAAGAAATCAGCAGTACCTACAAATTAGCTAGGTAATACTGGAAAACATTATTTCAGTTGTAATGCTGGCACCTGTATCTTGAGGATAAAGTGCTCTAAAAAAAAATGGTGATAATGAATAGGTTATATAACTTTTTAAAAGGCGTATAATTTTAAACTAAAGATGTATAATCTTTAAACTTTGCTTTAACCTCTGACTCATACATAAAGCTGTCTGTATGTTAGAAGAAAATGATTTTTTTATTGTGGAGAAATTTAGATGATTAAAAGTAGCTTTTAAGGCTAATCAGAAGTGTTTTTTCTTCCTTTCACTAGTTTTCTGTTATGCTAAATATAATTAATAAACATTGCTATCCTAACTTTGCTAGGATTGTAAGGAGTGATCATATTTTTGGTTGAGTACTATTCATTTTGACATGTTAAATTTTTATTAAATAGCTTTTTAATAAAGCTATTTATATAAAGCATTTTCTAAAGGAAGCAACATATGAATACTCAAGTTAAGGGTAGGTTTTATAGGGAAGAAAGACTATATGGTTAGGAGTGGGTGGCCCTGTATTGTGCTGGTTCTCTTCCTACACGGCTGATTCCAGGCAACGTTGATTGGGATCAGCCTCTGCTCTGCAGGGTCCTGTACTCTCTCTACTCCTTACAGGAAACTTTGGGGTGAGATCATCTGTCATCATGGGGCAAGCAAAGAAAATCTTTCCAAGCATTTTGCTGCCTATCTAACCCCTCTTTAGGATCCAGCTTCTGCCGGGGCCATTTGCTACATGTTTCTGCTTCAGCCACTTTCATTTTCCAGCTTTTTCTTCAGATTGTGAATGCTGCAGAAAGATTTTTTTTTTGCTTGCTTGCTTTCCTGGAGTCAGATTTTTTTTCACCCTCTTTCCAGACAAGCAATAATTTAGCAAATGAGGTTTTTAAAAGGGATAGAGATTGAAGGGCAGAAGCAGAGAGTTTAGTTTTAGCACCTAATTTGGGGGGGGGGGGGAAGAAAGATCAACAAGTTTGTCCCTCCCAGCTTTTTTTTTTTATTGAAAAAAAATGGGGCTTTCTTGGGGAGAGATGCGGTTAAAGCAAGGGAAAGATTTTGAGAAGCCTGTCCAGAAGCTGCTGCCTTTGCAGCTTTCCCAAAACGTAGCAAGAGCCAGGAAAGAGTTTGTATCTACCGATTGTCAGCTGATCAGGAAAGAAAGCTCTGGAAAGCTAGGGAACTGATCCTTGTTTTGCCCCTGAAAGGCAGAGGCACCTCTGAAATAAAAAGGGCAGCAGCAGAATCAGGAAAGGCAGGAGAGCTAAATGTTTTCCTTCTCTATTGTTTCTTGCTAGCTCCTAGGCCAGTGATGGCGAACCTTTTAGAGACCGAGTGCCCCAAAACCACCCTGCCCCCCAGCCCACCCCCACTCCATCCCTGCCCCCGCCCTGCCCGCCAGCAGGCCCACACACTGCCTCCACAGCCCGCTGCAGATTGCCCAGGCAGCCCTGCAGGGCCATGGCAGCCACACCCAGCATCATTTGCACATGATGGGGCATGAGGGCGGAGTCTTGTCCCTGCTGCACGGCTGCCATGTCCTTGGCTGCGCTGCTCCGTGTGGGCCACACCTGGGGATGACTCTCAGGGGGAGGCTGCTGGTGAGGGGGGCACAGGGGGAGGCAGGGCTGGGGTGATGGAGTGCATGCCCACAGAGAAGGCTCTGAGTGCCACCTCTGGCACACATGCCATAGGTTCACCACCACTGTCCCAGGCCACATTCCTCCTCCTCTTCTGGAAGCAACCATCAGTTTGAAGGGACCATAAGTCATTATGATTACTCTGAAAATGGCACTTGTTTCCAGGCCGCAGCCCTGTGGTGTAGGAGAGCATCTTGCTTTCATTACCATTGCAACTACACTTCCAGAAGGAGGTCTGTGTTAAAAGATAATGATCAGCAACTGAGGTGAGGGAGGAGCATGTGAAACTCTAAAGGCAGTGGTGGGATTCAACTGCTTTGCAACGGTTCGGCAGAACCGGTAGCTAACTTTTTGATGACTTTGGAGAATCGGCTGAAGCCCTAGCCCTTTTTCACAAGGCCCAGAAGGGACTGCTGGAAGTGCGTGGACGCCACTTCCGGAAGTCCATTCTGAGCCTCAGAAGCCCAGGCCCAGAACGGACTTTCAGAAGCGGCATCCATGCAGAGAATCGGTTGTTCATGTATTTGAATCCCACCACTGCCTAAGAGGTAGAGCACTGAGTATCTCAGAGGGTGGCGAAGGCCCAAGGCCTCCCAGCATCTCCTCCATCTCTGAGGTACCCCTTGCTTCACTTAGCGACCCACACATTTATTTAATGATTGCACTGGGAAGAGCAGGGACGGCTGATCATAACTTGAGTTAACATGTATTCCAACTGTAATAGGCAGGCTCCATTATGGTTTTAACTTGAGAACTACCAGTACATCACTTCAATTAATAGGCAGTATATTTTAAAACTCCATTATAATGTAATGAACAGGCAGTTAATTTTCTTCTAGTGAGAAAAATAACAGGAAACCTAACTAATCCCTGTATTTCAAACAACCGTATACATAATGTATTTCCACGGCAAGGGTATTGCTTTATATGATGATATATAGCAAAAAATCAAACCTTTAAAGTATTTGTAACATTGTGATTTAATATTTTATGAATAATGACTATTTTAATTTTAGACCCTTCATAGCACAGTGGTGCCTCATAACAACACAGAAACTGATGAAAATAAGTATATTTCAGAAGTGATGGACACAAAACTGGAAAAGAGACAAAGCAGCAAGAACAACCTTATTGATTCATTTAAGGCTGATACAGATTGCAATGGTAAGATTTCTTTCTAACCAAACTAATGACTGAAATACTGTAGAGGCACTTTGCAGTATTGTATATGTCATGGACGTTTCTCCTTCAGTTGGCAGAAGGTATTTGGGCTTATTTCAGAGGCAGCTTATCTACTAGATAGACAATTCCTCTATATGTGGAATTTTGCTGCAAAGTAGCTACTGTGATTCTGCTCGTTCATAAAATTATTGCTGTACTTGTCATGCCAGTTTCAGAACATTGATTGCCATATAAGATATTCCATACCCCCCCAAATAGATACACTTCCAAATAAAGCACATCAGGTAATAAACTATATATTTTTTTTTAATTGAAGTCTAGCAGGGGAACAAGGGAAATGTTTGTGGCACATCATTTTTCAAGGGATCTTATTGGAGATACAATAGTGAGGATGGACACAGACAGTCAGAAAGTGGAGGAAGAGAATGCATTATTAACTTTTTAAAAGTTGCCTTACCCTTGAACCCAAGACACATTCTCTCTAGCAAGTCTATAGCTTTTCTATTAATCTATATCATATTTTTGATAATGTAATATTAGTCCCTCTGATTCCATGAATCTGGGTGGGCAAACTCATTATTGTGTTTTCTTAAGTGGGTGGGACTGAATTATTCAGACCGAGTTTTGAAGAATTTGAGAAGAGAACTGAAAAGGCTTAAGGGTTAATTTTATTCTTAAAACAGGGAAGGTTGGTTGGGTCTGCCTCTTCTGGGGATGTCATGACATCACTGGCCATGCCCACTGTGGCCTCTGGGCAGGATACAAAAAAGAATGCAGACTGGTGATAAAAAAAAAAAAAGTTTATCATCACTGCCATAAGTTGGCAGTTGTGTTTTTTAGAAACACAGGGTGAGAAGCTAGATTACTTTAAATTTAAATACTTCTGTAGAATTATTTCTTCACCCTCACTATATTATTTATATCTTGTCCTACAAATAAGGTGTTTCTTCTCATTCATCTCAAAGATTATCAGAATATTAAATGAGGAAAAAATCAAAACTTTATCCCAAATAAAGTAAAAATAAAAATGATTTAGGCTGTAAATCAATGTTGATTGTTACTGATATAACTTTCTGTGGGATATTTTTCTCACTTTTCTCACTATTTTTTTTCTTCCAGTTCAAAAGAACAGTGAACTGGAGACTCAGCTTCTCATGGACAGTATTTGTGAACAAAATTTGCAAGAGGTATATATTAAATTATACCTTTTTCTTTCAAAACATATAATGATATATAATGAATGTTCTTGTAATCTAGCAGATTTTTTTATAATGTTTTATTAACTAGATTTTATTTTTGCTGTTTTGCTGAAATTGTGTCTGTTGATCCATTATCTTAGATAATGCTTTAATATACTAAATTTATTTTTATTCTTAAATTTTGATTATAGTTTAATGGTTATATTAAAAAATATAATAAAATTCTTGTGACTCCCAACTAACGTTTATGCTTAAATGTTTCCATTTTAGAAATTGCTGGAAGGTACCATCACAGTTCGTGAATTTTTCACGCTTCTCCAAGTCCATGTTTTAATACAGATGCCTCGCCAAAGTCAACTTCCGCTCAAGGTGTGTATGTGTAAAAGGTCCTAGCCACTATGTTGTGATATGAATAGGTATTTGGTTTTAATTATTGAAACAAGCCTAGTGCTTTATATTAGAGATTATCTAAGATTCATCAGTATCCCTATTGGACTTTATAGGTCTCATTCTGCCATTATAAACATCTTTTTTAACATTCAGTTCAGCCAAAGTTTAATTTAGTTTTATGCAAATTTGGCCTCTTTGGAATTGCTGTACTTAGAAAGAAGCAATTAGTATTGCTTCCAGTTCAATTTTGTGCATATTTGTTTTCTCAATTCTAAACAGAAAAATTCTAATTCTAATTAGATTCCTTCTTAAGGAATACATGTTTTTTTCCCCTCTATAGCACACAGTCAACACATCATCTATCCCAGAAGATGAGATTCTCAGCCACTTCATCTATCATCCGAAATTACAGGTTTATAAGGAAGATTGTCAAACTCTTCACAAGATAATAGAAGAGTAAGATACTTCCATTTTTTTTCCAGACCTTATTTGTATTAACATTTACTTGAAACTTGACATGAATTGCAACATTACTGATATCAGTTGATCACTTTAATGCGTGCATTGTAATTCTTTCAGAAATTCTTAAGAATCTTCTGAAAAAGATTACAAAGTAAAGCTGTGCATAAAATGGAAACTGTGTTGTTCTGGACACAAATAAAGTTCTACTTCTATTCATTTTGGATTGACCATCCGAAGCCTTGGAATGTTTTGATTTGTGTAGTTTACACTATCTAAAGGGATCCTGGCTAATTTGATGGGATGAGTACTGCAAGGCTGGTGCATGTCCCTCACAGTTTCTTTTCCTGCCTCAGCTCAGGCATTCCCAGTGTGCCAGCACAGCTTGTCCCACTGACCTGCCTGAACACTGATCTTTCCAGCAACTTTGTTTTCTCTACTACTTCTGTTTTTTTTCAGGCACTGCTCTATAGCCAGTATATTAAACAGGCACAGGTAGTCTTTGACTTACAATCACAACTAGGAACAGAATTTCAGTCACTAAACAATGTCATTCAGTGAGTCATCACATGACCAAACCCAATATTACAACCATCTTTATTGTAGTCATTTAGCAAATCGTGTGGTCATTAAATAAATCACATGGTCCTAAAGTGAATTCAGCTTCCCCAATTGACTTTGCTTTTTCAGAAGCTGATTGGGAAGGTTGGTTTAGTTGAGGACTTACCTGCATATTTTTTAATCCCATAGCTGTGACTAGGGAAAAGTTCTGATAATGTCACTAAAACGGGGTAGGAGGGGAGCAGATATGAACTGTAAATTACTTACCACTTATAAATTGATCACTGTGCAACACACTATGGCAAGAGTCCCCAACCCCCGGTCCATTGACTGGCACTGGGCTGTGGCATGCCAGAAACTGGGTTGCACAAACAAGTGAAGCCCCATCTGTGAAACCATGCCCTCTCCGGTCCACAGAACAACGTCCCTCTGGTGCCCAAAAGGTTGGGGGTGACTGCACTATGGGATTAGACAAAATCCCTGAGAAAAATCAAACAATTGTAATGCAGATACCAGACTTTTTTTTTTAAAAAAAAAGACATATTCCATAATCACAAATATGCTGTCCCCTAAAATCTTGCTGTGTAGAAGACATCCAGTAAAGAGGGATTTATAGAAATCCTCAAGATTAGAGCTGGTTACAAGAGTAATGTAATATGTCTATTAATATTCATCCTGGTTCTGTTCTGTGTATAGTTCTACAGGTTTTTTGCATTTAGACATGTAGGTAAAGCAGAAGTGAGTGAAAATAGAGGTAATTATCATTAAACATTATGAGTGCAAGCCAGCAGATCTGTGTGACACAGAGTTGAGAGATCCAAATAAACTATAGATTAAATAGGCTATTAGTTAATAGATATTCCCAAAGTTGAACACCGTCACAGGAAAAGCTAGTACAGCCATCCTTTGTTTTACTGGATCCCAGCCAAGGTATTTCTGCTTTCTATCAGCAGGCTAGTACAGACATTTGTTGTTTATTCTTGTTTGTTTTTTCAGATTAAAACTTCATGCAGCTGACCAAGATAAACTTCTGATGAATATGAATAAAAGTTTTTGGGAAGTAATGAAAACTTGTTCAAATGAAGAGGTATAGACAACTGACTTGTTATACTTAATTGTATCTACTGAGAAATGGCAATAGGTTATCTTAATTTGTGAATATTTGGCTATTTTTCCGTGGCACTTTGTATGGTAATTGCTTATATATGCTCACTTAAAAAAAACATTTTATATAAATGAAAAAGTATATAAATAGAAAGTATAAGAAAAATATAATGTACAGATAGTTACTGTATGCTCACTCTTAATAGATAATGGACTATTCTTTTAGATTGAATAACTTTAAATAAAAAGTTAAACATTTTATTTTCAGTAAGCTTGTTAGAGCATTAAAAAGATGAGGCTCTTACTCTCTTTGGGAGTATAAATTTTAAATAATTAAAATAGACGAATAAGTAAAATTAATAACAGAGGAGCTTTGATAGTAGAAAGGGAACATCTGGGAAAGAGCCAGGTGAAGAATAATGTGAATGTAGTGCCCGAATCAATATAATAAATATTACAAAGTAACCTATTTAACTGGGGAAAGGTGCATTTATTCTTGCAATTAGCATGTAAGACCTGATTTTGTATATTTGTGATATGTTTAAATACAACAAAAATGTGTTATGACATGAAGTAGCAATAAGATTAAATTAAACCTGTATAATTATTGATTACTGAAAGACTTGGAAAGAATCTATTCCCAAAAGGTACTATTCTCAAACCTCTTTTTAGGAGGAATGGTATTACAATGCTCTGTAAACACAAAAATTAATCCCTTTTTCAAAGGTATTAGACCTTTTACAGGTATTCCTCGATTTATGACCACAGTTGAGCCCAAAATTTATGCTGCTAAATGAAACATTTATTAAGTGAGTTTTGCCCCATTTTACGACTTTTCTTGCTATAGTTGTTAAGTGAATCATTGCAGTTCTTAAGTTAGGCCCACAGTTGTTAAGTGAATCTGACTTCCCCATTGGCTTTATTTGTCAGAAGGTTGCAAAAGGGGATCACATGACCCTGGGACACTGCAACTGTCATAAATATGAACCAGTTGTCATCTTTCTGAATTCTGATCACATGACTAAAGGGATGCTGCAATGGTTGTAAATGTGAAAAATGATCATAAGTTACTTTTTTGAGTGCCATTGTAACTTTGACGGTCACTAAATGAACTATTGTAAGTCGAAGACTACCTGTACTTTCATTGTTCAACAGATGTAAATGTGGATGCTCTTAATAGGTCTTGTAGAAGCAGATGTTTTTACCAATTTCACAAAGATCTTCCAGAAAAACACTACTAAGGGGGTTTATTAAATAGGATAGAGATGTTGAAGTGAGGATGGAGGTATCCTTAGAAATTGAACAGAGGCTTGTTACGGACCTCTTCTTTCCATCTACATGATAAAGTTAATTCAGCAGATTCTACCAGTTCATTGTGAATTCAAAGAAAGTGTTTTGGAAAGAGATGAATAAGAAAAATTGTTTCTGATAATTGTTTGGTGTAGCCAAAATTTGAATTCAATCCATTGTGACCGTAGCATGCTGCTAGTGAATTATCAGCTAAACTAAGGAAAAAATTAATTTCATTGCAGCTGAGAGGTTTTGGTGCTGAGCTGAACAAAATGAAATCCTGTTTCACCAAGAAAAGTAAAGTTCTTGCTCACAAAGGAAAAGCAAAATTATATGTGAACTTGGTACACCATGCAAAGGTAAATTATTTGTGGTAACCAATGAGATGTAACTGTTAACAATTTTAATTATTAAGAATTCTATTTTTGTAACCTGCCCTCCTTATTAGCTGCCTTTTTTCCTTTACAATGCAATTTTATAAGGTAGTCTGAAATGTGGTAGCTTGTTCCTAGAAAAACAAGCAAAGTACATTCTGTATAATCCGAGCTGCTGACTATTCCAAAATGAAATTTATATCTGAACAGGGATTTGAATTCAAATTACCTTGTCCCAAGTAAAATGTAACTTGAGTAAATTCTGAATTTACAAATAATGTCATATAGCTCAATACTCTCTAACTGGAGTTACTACTCTTTTTTTTAGTTTTATTCATTTATAACATGAAATGTGAAAATACAAAAGCAAATAGTAGGGAGCAACAGTAGAAAAAGGGAAAACAAAAAAGGTGTGAAGAAAAGGAGGGGAAGAAACAAAATGCATTGACTTCTGACTCTGTTGCAGTAAAATCAGACATTAAAATAAATCTCAACTTTTTACATTTCTATAGTGGTATGCACTAGCCATTTCTGTATCGGCAAATCAATCTAAAACCTAAAATCATGATATCATTTTTTTCTACTTCAAGCACAAAGTGCAGAATTGGTTTCCAAGTAGAAACAAAAGTACTTATATTCTTTTCTTTTATCGGCACAGTCAATTTGGCCATCTCTGCTAATTCCATCAGCTTTTGTAACCATTTGTCCATGGTGGGAATGGAGGCATCCTTCCACTTTTGTGCATAGAGCAATCTTGCATATGTAAAATCAGAGTTCCAATTTTTTTTCCAGTTCTCTTTCCATTAGACCCAAAAGGAAAGTTTCTGGTTTAATCTTTATGTTCACTTTAAGAATTTTCTCCATTAATATATGAATCCTACTCCAATATTTCTTTGCTTTATCACATGTCCACCATAAATGATAAAAAGTCCCTTCTTTACTACTTTTTTAAATATCTTTTAAAAATATATTTAACAAACAATAAAATAGAAATTCACAATTCATGTAGCTGAATTGCAGGATACATTTTCCATCTAAATTTAAACTTGCAATGATATAATGTGGATGGCCTACTACAATTACTAACATTGTTACTAGCATTGTTTATTGTTAGCTTTTCTCTCCCCATAATAGTACAAAACCCATTTTAATCTCCTCCTATAAATAATATAACAAAAAGTGTAGCAAATCCTTTGTTTTCTTAATTTTTAATATGTCAGTATAAAGCATATTCCATGATGGACATTACAATTTTCACTTGGCATATGATGAATAGACTGAAAACCCTAATTATGCAGCCATCAAATACAGTATATTTGTCAGATCTATCCTTTGGTTGATACGTCACCCAATACTTTATGTAATATTTGAATATGATTACATTTTTTTAATTTTGACATTAGCAACCAAACTTTATTAGATGGCAGTAGTCAACATTAATTTTAGATTTACTATAATATAAATATTACATTACAAATAAAAAGTATGCTCTAAATATTCTTTATCATATAAGCTGCAATATGAAAAACTACAATCAAGATTAGCTAAAATGGATGAACTTCTGAAAGAAATGGATAGCTGTCTTTTTGCTCTGGAGAAAGGTACAACTTTAAAATTTTTTAGTCAATTCAGTTTTCTTGAGTTAGTATAAGTTGCTGTCCACTCCTCCTCCACACCCTCAGGCACCTCCTCAAGCTGTTCTATCCAATTATGAAGATGTTTTACTTGAGATTTCAATTTTTAAAATCTTTCTGTTTGAAATGCAGTAACAATTTCCTCGATGCAGTCTAAAAATCTCCTTGATTTCAATCTTTTTTTAGGGGGTATTTGCCCAAATAATGGGTGTGCCAGATCACATAACACCTTTCCATATTCCAGGTCTTGTGCCACACTCCTTCTGATATCTGGTGGGGCTGTTCCCTCCAACATCCAGCAATGATGCAATATATAGCACTAAGCGCCCGATCTAGCTGTACAGAGTACACAGACAGAGCCTCAGACAGGGCAAGCATATTCTCTTCCCGAACAACATAATGCAAGGGAAGCCATTTGCAGAATAGTAGAATGGGCACCCCAAGTAGTTCCAGCCAACTTTCTAAGGAGATGATTGAGAGTGCCGATCTTTTGCTTTAAATTGCAACAGTGTCTTTTAAAGGTTAGTGTTTGATCCAGTATAACACCAAGATATCATAGCATCTCATAATCAACCAGACTCACTCCATCCCAAATAATATTAAGCTTACATCTGGCTGGCTTGTTTTTAATGGATTAGTTTTTGATGGATTAGGTTTTAGTCCATTCACGTTATAATATTCCAACATATTCTTAAGAACCAGAGTGTGCTTCTCTTTCACTTCCTCTAAGTTGGTTCCATAAGTGATAAATCATCAGCGTAGATGAAAGAGGATGTATCAGGGTCAAGAGATTGATCATTTGTTTATATATTAAACAACAGAGGGGCAAGAATACTTCCCTGTGTGATATCATGTCACTGGTCTCTCCACCGACTCCTTTTTTCCCTGGAAGTCAACAAAATATCATTGGTTTTTCAAGTATTGTCTCAGTGCATTTAGTCAAAGCAAGTTCACGTGTGATGTATAATTTCAGGAGAAGCTTCGTGTGATTAACTGTGTCATAAGCCTCAGATAAATCCACGAAAGCAGCTACTGTCATTAGACTTGATTGAAAGCCATCCTCTATATGCTGGACAAGTTTAAGTATCTGACCTGTGCAAGACTTCCCTGGCCAGAAACCAGCTTGTTGGGAAATAAATGCTGGTTTGATAAAGTTTAAAGAGATGGCAAAGGAGAGAAATTGGATGAAAGTTCTTAGTCTCATTCAGGTTTTTCCCAAATTTTAAAAGTGTGATAACCCAGGCTTTCTCCCAATCTTCGGAATACACTGAGGCCACATATGCATTAAAAAGTGATAGCAACCATTGCTTACTAAACTTAGTTTCTGTGTTGCAGTGATGTAAGTGTTCATCAGTCCTCCCTAAACCAATGCAATATGATCACTATTTGGAAGTTTTGCCTTTTTTTAATTGGAATTGTATCAAACTGTAGACACAATATAATAAAAATAAAAGCTGTATCTATAATTTATACTTACCAGAAGCGTTTTAGCATTTCTGTTTTCTCTTTAAATAAAACTACTAAATTTCTGGGGTATAAACTTTAAAATTAGAAGCATACTCCTTTATAATGCATTTTCTACTAAATTGTTTGATAATATATGTTATAGTTTTGGATACATGACCTTGTTAAATATTACCTGATTTTTAGAAACTGCTACTCTGGATGATTCTAAGTTGGATGCTAATTATGCCATGGAGGAACATGAGACCAAACTGAAACATATTGAGAGCGGTAAGTAAATTTTTTTTAGTTAAATGAAATAAAAGATTTGGAATTAATTTTTATTAGATGAGGGCGACATTTATAATAGTGTTCTTTTACAAAAACATTTCAGGCAACAAGAACATTGGACTCCATTACTTAGAGCAGTGGTTCTCAACCTTTTTAATGCCGCGACCCCCAACCGGTCGTAAGTCGAGGACTACTCAACTGGTGCAGCACCATTTGCAGAATGGGACTTTTGGCGGGCTCAGCAGGGCAGAGACAGCCTGGACAATTCCTATTGCTTTTGAAAGCCAATAGAATTAGACTCTATTCAAGAGAGTCTATTCTATTGGCTTTCAAAAGCCAATAGAATAAAAGGGAGTAGCACAGTTAAGGAAAAGGGGGAAAAAATGGTGGACTGCGTTGTTTGGCGACCCCCGTGAAATGGTCGTTCGACCCCAAATGGGGTCCTGACCCACAGGTTGAGAACCACTGACTTAGAGCCTTTAAAAATAAAAAGTTATTTTAATAGTATTCCTCCTGTGTAATTATATGGCTATTATGATTTTTTTAACATAGAAATATTTTAGATAGTATTATCGTTTTTGATTATTTTTGTTGTTTTAATCTAGTCTACATATGGGTAGGAGTGTAAACCATTCAGAATCTCTTGATTAATGGAACCATATAAACCTGACAAAACAAACTGTGATGACATTCCTACACAGAGATTATCTAGGGCAGTGGTTCTCAACCTGTGGATCGGGACCCCATTTGGGGTCGAATGACCATTTCACGGGGTCGCCAAACAAGGCTGTCCGCCATTTTTTCCCCCTTTTCTTTGGCCATGCCCCTGGCACCCGGTGATGTATAAGTGGTTGGGGGTCACCACAACATGGGAAACTGTATTATGGGGTCACGGCATTAGAAAGGTTGAGAACCACTGATCTAGGGAATATTTGAAGTACCTGAAATCTACTGATACCTGTTTGCCAGCGGAGTATGCATTGTTAGCTAGAATTTGCCTTTCTTACTGCTTTTACATACCCCAGAGGTATGCTTTGGATAGTTAGATCTTGTCATGTTCAATATTGCTCATGCTCTAAAAACCTGTGGTTGACTTTTCCTCCTAATATCTGTATATTTTGGTTATATGCTGTGAACTGAATTCTTCTAGGATCATCACGATCAGATTAATGTACTCTTTTTCAGGCCAAAACCTAACATAGTGTTTTCCTGGTATGCCAGAAGGGCATTGCAAAAGGAGAATGGCCAGCACCAAAACTAAGCTTAAATGAAATTAAATATAGTTAATATGATCATTTCCAAGTTATTTAAGAATTATCCTCTTCTATTAAATTAAAACTCACAGGTCAACAAGAACTTTTCAATGACCCCGGAGTTTGCATAATGTTTTACACAGAGGCACTGTAGGACTTCTGTTCCATGTAGAGTGCATATTTGTGTGTGTGCAGGATTCTCATACCTAAATTATTTCCATGTAATCATTTTCATTCAGCTCTAGATCTCTTGTTCTACAATGTTGGTTGTCTTGATCAGTTGAACTAACTTATTTCTGACTTTGCTGCGTTGTATTTAAATATAGCAAAATTAATATTTCCTTTGAAATGTTGCAGCTCTGTTGAGTTTGTGGATGGTCTATTTCCTGTTTACAGAAACTGTCATTTCACACTGTCTTCTAAAGTTCAGTTGTCTTAGCAGATCTTTCAGGATTTGCATATTTCCTCCCCCTGTCCACCCTTTAATAACCACTCAGAATATTTTTTTGCAGATGACCAGATAAACTCATATAATATGAAGTAAGGATAGGCAAGTCATTTTACTTCAGTTATTTCCCTTGGAGTGGGAAAAGTGAAATAACCTTTCTCTTTCCAAGTCCTGAAGCTGCTTAAGATATTCTTAGTATTGTGCAAAATTGGCAGCCATGAATACAATTGTATATTAGCATCATCTGCTTTTGAAGAATTGGAGAGTGGAACGAAAATTACAGCACTGTGGAAGTACCAATAACTTTATCTTGGATGGAAAAATAGAACTGGATGTGTTTAATTAGAATAAATAGCTATATTTGTATTCTATTGCCAGATTTTAAATGTATTTTTCTTCAATTTTAGAACTAGAAAATTACAAATCCCAAGAAGATAATCTTCAAAGGTAATATTTATCACCCAAATACCCCACATTTGCAACCTATAAAATATATCAGTTTTCAACACTATTTTATTCACATGTTGCATTTTTGCAGAGATCAGTCAGATCTCAGAGATCAAAAACAACAGATAATTTCTGGAATCAACCAGCTTCAAAGAGACATAAGAAGTTGCCAAGAACGTACAGAGAAATACAAGTAAGTAAATTAAAGAGGATTTTATTGTAATGCTATTCATCCTCTAATTAGAACTGTCCCCAACGTATTCTGTCCCTTTGGGAACTTAACTGTGATCACAAGATAGTCTTAATTGATAGAGAATTGTCTAAAATTTCATTTGATTATTTCATGACTACTATTCAGTCTTATTGAGGATTGACAATATAATTACCCATTTTAAAAAACTATCTGATGTTGATAAAATTGTCTAGGAAAATAAAACTCATGAGTTTTCCAATAATAGTTGAAAGAACAAGTTCTCTGTTTCGGTATTTGTGTGGGGATGTGTGTACAGGCAACTCTCTGCATGGTTTTGAAGTTAACTGACAGGGTTTATTTTATTTTATTTTTATTTTATTTATTTGTATCCTGCCTTTATTATTTTTACAAAAACAAAAGGCAGCAAACATATTCAACACACCTTCCTCTTCCTATTTTCCCCACAACACCAACCTGTGAGGTGGGTTGAACTGAGATGTTCAAGGTCACCAAAGTGACTTTCATAACAAAGATGGGCCTTGAACTCACAATCCCTCGTTTTCTAGCCCATGCCTTAACCACTAGACCAATCTAATTTGATTTAATCTTAAAATTAAAGAGACACTGATGTTGCTAGAGGTTCTCTCATAATCTGTGAAAGTCTGAGTTTTCTTCTGGAGCTTCTGCACAAGGCTTTGACTAAAGAATTCTGCTTCCTTCCTTCGTCTTCCATTTGGAACCTATTTTTTCTCGCAAAGGAAAGAAGTATTTTAAAGAAAGAAATGCGAAACTGATTAGTATTAGTAGCACCAGCAACCTAGTCTAGAAACACTTCATCACTTTTCAAAAGTGGAAAGAGCACTAATACAAATGTTGATATGTGTGCATATCTTGTCTTTCTAATGTTTTCTCTTTAATTAATCTGTGATTGTGTAATGTTTTCTTCTTGCAGCTTCTCTGAGTGGGTAATAAAGGAATGGAATGATCAGCAGGCAGTATTTACTTTCCTTTATGATTCTGTTGAGTTCACTGTGGGGTTTAAATGTCCCTCAGGTAAGCTGCAAAATAGCAGGAACTCTTACCTGCTTTCTATGGCATTTCTATAAATAATGTTTACAATTATTTGAATTTAACTGTTCATTGTGGCTATTTGGTACCACTATTTTGTGAAATTGCGTTTTTTATTGTAATGGAACATTTTGCACTAGAAGGTTGGTTGTAAATACTGAATTTGTATAACCAAGACAGCTTTAAGGTAGACGCTGATATGATCAGTTGGCTTTCCATACAAACATTCCTCAGGATCAGAAATATGCATAGGAGGATATTCAGTTTACTCATGGGTGTATAAATCCGATTCACACATCACCCTGTTCTACATATTATTTGTACACGTTACTAGAAATGGAGTACACAAACTTCACTTTGAAGATGTGTTTCACACTGTGTGTGCTTTTTTATAGATGATGCTACTTTCAAAAACAAGTTCTACCGGGAAATTGTTAGTCTGAATTTTGAATCATTATTGGATGGTAAGATTGCAATATTTTATGATCATAAGGAATTCCCAGCGCTTCATATGAAATATAATGCTGAAATGGAAAGAAATAGGAAATACAGACTGATATCAGGAATCTTTGCTTTCTAATTTTTATTTTAATTTCTTCTGCAGTATATTTTTTGCATTAGGAAAATAATAGTCAAAGATGTGGGGAAATGGAGGATTTTATAAGTACTGATAATGCATAGGTCTTTGTTAAATCTATACAAAGGAGATATGTGCATGGACTGTTAATGTTTAAAACATCTGAAATTATCTGTTATTTTATTCAATTGTTATATGCCACCCAGAGTCACTTTGCGTGAGATGGACAACCACATAAATGTGATTAATAAATAAAATAACACCAAATGATTTAAATATAACTTAATTTTTGATAATAATCTTTTTTACTTTTACTTGCTATTTTCCCAGAAACAAAAGCAGTGCCTGCTGCAAAACTAGTGCATAAGCTGATCTTTCAGTTTATTAAAAGTCAAAATTCATGGCAAGAGAAATGCTCAACAGTGTATCAACTTTCTCAGGTAAGGAACTAATTATAAGGAAGTCTAGAATTTATACACTAAAATAAAGCATGCATGACAGTAAAGCTCTTAAAACTGTCCTCAATTTTATTATTTGCTGATTCATTTTCCTGATGTTTATGGGTTGAACAAAAAAGTTAGAAATTTATAATGAAGCGTATACATTGTTGGAAAAAATCTGGATGTTACTATAATGAGTATGGGTTAGAGCAGTGGTGGCGAACCTATGGCACGGGTGCCAGAGGCGGCACTCAGAGCCCTCTCTGTGGGCACACATGCCGTTGCCCCTGCCTTGCCTTCCTCCACGACCCCCTCACCAACAGCCCCCCTGGAGGAGAGTCGCCCCCGAGCATGGCCTATGCGGAGCAGCACAGTCAAGAACATGGCATCCAGGCAGCGTAGACAAGACTCTGCCTTCACACATCATCACGCACAGTTGATGCTGCGGGGTGCGGGCAGAGGGCATGGCCGCCATGGCACTGCTGGGCTGCCTGGGCGATCTGCGGCGGGCCCTGGAGGTGGTGAGTTGCCCTGTGGGCAGGCGAGGTGGGGGCAGGGCAGGAGTAGGGGCGGGGCCAGTTTTTGGGCACTCGGTCTCTAAAAGGTTTGCCATCATTGGGTTAGAGTATTATTTTTTGGTTTAGTAGCAGTAACACTTGGCTAATTGATTGCCTTTAGTTAAAGAAGCTAAGTAATGCATTTTTTTCTTAATGTCTGCTTTATTGTTCTACATGCTGCTTTTAGAGTGCTTTTAGTATAGAACAGAGGTCTCCAACCTTTCCAGCTTTGCAAACAGGCAGTAATGGTGGTGGCAGGAGGGAGGGGATGGTTTCATGCACGCACCTGCCGCTTGCATGGCCCAATTCCCAACGGGCTGTGGACTGGTACCAGGCCACGGACTGGCGGTTGGGAGCTCCTAGTATAGAAAAGCCATACCTTTCTCTACAATACATTGAGCCATATATTACTCATAATGGATTGGTTCCAGCCACTTATTTTGCCAAGAGACAACTGCTGTCAGTTAGGAGGGAGGTAGCCAATTGTTAATTCCCAATGCCCTGCACCTCTACCACTTTCTTCCATGGATTCCAGATAATGGAGATGTTGGTGGTGAGGATGAGGATGATGAGAGGAGACTGGAGACTAGAATCACCAGAATTTTTTAAGGAAAATTTCATTTTTGACAAACCATATTTTCTAGAAAATTTATGTGTGTGTATTAGGATGTCATACTTTTGTTTTGATTGTTAAACCAGATATTGCGTGATCTGTCTCTCATGGTGAACCGCTGTCAACTTCTGGGAGAAGAGATAGAGTTTCTGAACAAATGGGGTGGAAAATTTTACTTGCTGAAGACTGAAGTGAATGACACAAAGTAAGTAATTGTTTAATCTACTTTTATTTGTATGCTTGGTGCATACAAATAATTGAAAAAAATGCCTTCCCAGTTTGTAAATATATGTTATAATCCAGCCAAATTACTCCATAGTTGTACGCTTAACTGAGAACACTGAAGTTTTACCATGGTGAATTTTAAAACGAGGGGCAGTTTCCAGGGCTGGAAACCAAGGGGCTATGAGTTCTAGTTCCTGCCTTAGGCACAAAGTCAGCCAAGTAAAAATCAGTCACTCTCCCTCAGCCTAGTACAAAGGCAATGGCAAATAATTTCTAAAAATTACAGAAATTTTTATGGTTTGTCTAGGCAATTGTCAGGAATCGTAATCCGTTTTGCTGAAGGCAGAAAAAAAAAGTTGAACAATTTTTGGTAAATAGAATTCAAGGAGCATAATAAGAAACAAAAATGCACAGTTTTCTAATATGATGTAAACTTTACAAAATGCATACAAACACAGTAAATAAAAGAACAGAGAAATATTCAAATAGTGGATTCCAGAACCAGATTAAAAGAAATATTAAACAAAATAAAAACTAAAAAGAGTTAGAACAGAAAATTTGACAAGCAACTTAAAAAAAAATACATCAAACAGGCAGATCTGACAGGGGTTTTTTAGTAGTAAAACTTGAAAGATTTTAATACTCACACAATTTATGTATGTTTATTGTGAGAAAAATATACATAAGGGTTTTTGTTAACATTTATGATAATGATAATTTGTATACCACCTCTCATTGAATTATTATGGATGGATATAATGGGATACAACAATAAAAGCACAAGTAAAACAATAATATATCAGAGTATCTGCAAGTTATATTTATTAAGGAACTTTATTAAGTTTCTGACTATTTATGTATCTACAGTTTCATACTTATTTAAAATGTCTCCAGAGATAAAGCAGAAGCAAGTAGTGGCCCTGCATAACAGTCCCAGTTTCTCATGTGGCCTTTTGGGAAAATTAATTGCCATCTCTGGTTTACATGGTGAAGTTACTGAAAATAGGCTGAATTTACTTTTATTTATTAGTTTCCATTTATCAAGTTATTAATTTAGATTCCAGTTCCCATTATTACTACATCATTTGGTTTAGATGAAAGATAGTTAGCCATGTTCACAATTTTTCATTGTAAATCCGATTGTTTCTCCCAATTATTTCACATGGGTTTGTTTGGATAGTAACATACATAACTGTTAACTTTATGTATCTGGTTTTTTTTGTATATAGTATAAGCCTTTTGTTCTCCAGTTCTATGCCTCTTGCAAAGTTTGAAGTCGAACTCTATTTATCTGCCAATTATCCAACATCTCCATTAGCTTTCACTATCCAAAAATGCACAGGCAATCTTGGGTGAGTAAAACAAAGATGAATGTCTCTGGGTAATGATATATGCTTCATTTCTGTGAAAAAGTTTAACAGAAATATTTTCTTAATCAGTTTATATATATGCATTTTCTGTTCTCAGCCACGAGGAAATTTCTGTGGTTTTGTCCAGTGTTCCAGTGGGAGCCAACTATTTGAAGAGAATGGTCAATCACATTAGTTGTAATCTACTCCAATATCCTTCAGCAATTCCAAAAAATAAAAGAGCAATTGTGCAATAGTTTGTTCTCCTAGAATACTTGGAAAAACATCAACTATCATGCACGCAGTACTAGAATTATTACATCTTTGTTTAAACTATAAAAAAGCAGAAATGGTTTGCCTTTCTTCTGTAAACTGTAGTGCAAAACTGTAATGTGGTTCCTCTATATTTTTTTATTTCTTTTCGGTATTTTTCAGTAGTGCTTTGCCCTGCCTTTTATTTCTGAGAGACTATTTTATAATAGAATAAAGTATATTGTAGTTGATGTAATTTTGAAACATACTGCAGTGAAGGGATGCTAAAACGAGCTTTTGATTCCTATCTATAAAGCACTTAAGTAATTGAATGTTGGATATAGAATACTGGATCAGTCTCCTAATCTTTTAAAAATGATCATAGGATGTAGTAAAATTTTATTCTATTATACTGACTGAGGAAAGTCTTCAGTTTCAATGAAGACAGCAGACATTATTATTAGCATGCATTTTTGTGCAGGCTCATCTTGTATCTGTAATGTTGACATTCTTACAACAAAACTTCTAGGATTTGTTCTCTTGTCTAATATTTTGTTGGTGGACAAATTATGTTTATATGTAAAATATTGCATATTTAAATGCTTTTTGATGTTTGTGTGTTTTTTAACTTTAGTATTTTGTCAAAAAGGAAAGTGTAATAAAGTTTACAACAATACTTTTACCATCTTGGTAGTGATTTAGAAATTAAAAAAACACTGCCAACACTTATATTCAACATTATCTCACTATGTTATTTCTTTATTTTATTTTGTATTTTATATTTTTTATTTTAATAAGATTAAAAAATGCTTTATATATTTTATTTTTTTAAAAAAAATCTATTCCCTCTAAATTGTGTGAATCACATTTTGTTATTTATTTAGAATGTTTCTGTTAACATTTAAAATGTTGGGTAAAGCTACCTTTATTTCACACCAATTTTATGAAAAGAAAAAATAAGATTTTGTAGAAATGCTTTTATAAGTAGAACTGAACTATGCATCCAAATCGAGAAAGGTTAACAGCATGTGTAATAGAAACATTGTGGTCCAGTATTCAATAATAGTTATACTTTTTATTATAGAAAACAAAAACTAGATTAATATAGTATAGTATAAAACTTTACTTTTTATAGATTTTGCATTTTTCTTATTCAGAATCACATCTGAAAACATAAGTAAACAAAGTTTTTTTAATTCCTTTCATCTTAAATACTTAGTATATTTTTATACACTGCTTTACTTCCTGTGTTTTCCTCTTATTCATGTCCTGTTTTTGTCTGTTTTTCTTGTATCTTTTCTATTTATTATTCCCCCATTCTGTTTTCAATAGTTTTAATTTATACTAGGATGTTACATGTCCCTAAAAATAAATCCTAATGAAAGTTAATTGACACCTATTTAATTTGAATACATTGAATATGGAAAAGCAAGGACATCAGCCTGGCAACTAAATGTAGATTAATCCACATCATTATATTTCCCATAGCTACTTAAGAGTAGCAAAAGTTGGTCCATGAAAAAATTAGAAGGAAAATCAACTTGTTTGAGCTGTAGTGTCAGGGAAGACTCCTATGCATTCCTTATACAAGAGTGTATACAACTTATACTTGAAAGCCAAAATCACAAAATTTCAGCCATGTCATGTGATCAAATGCACTGGAAAAAAGTTATGCTCAGAATAGTTGGCAATAAGAGAAAATGAGGCCACCAAAAAATGGTAGCTATACGTCATCAAAACTGACACCAGCCAGAGCATAAAACAACTGAAAGAAGCTGTACAAGAGCATATTTTTTTATATTTTATTTTCCCCTTAGTAGCCCTTTATGCACATGTTCATTTCAGCTTAATAGATAAGAATGATTTATTAAGAATGCTGTTTATCCAGAGACCAATTTATTGCAGTGGTTATTGTGTGATACTATAATGTTGATGTTATGGTGGTATACAAATATTATTTGTTAGATTGTTATTCCACCTCTCATTCAGGAGCTCAAGGTGTCCTCAAATTATAATATTTGACAATGATTGAACTTCAACTAATGAAGCAAGCGCTACTTTGCAGACTTAATGTATATAACACAATATATGTTCTACTTATTTCACTGTAGATTGCATCAGAATGTAGTCTGTATCTGCCCCCCATTCCTTTCCTGGAATGAAAGGGAGCAAGATGCCCAGGGAGAGGAGGGTGGGGGTCTTCTCTTAGTCTGTTAATTACCTGTAGAATGACAGACCCCCATTGGGGTCCTAGACCACCTGGCAGAGCCGGGTCTTCAGTCTCTTTTGGAAGGTCAAAAGAGTGAGTGTGGATCACACTTTGGGGCCATGATGTTCCAGAGGATGGAAGCCAGAAACTACAATGCCTTCTGTAATACATACTGAGTTTTACAACACATTACCAACACATATTAAGTTTGTAGTTAACAGTATACCAAGGTTTTTCAGAAGTACAATTGTGGACAGTTGTATTTTCCTACCTTAAGAAGATGGTTCATATTAAAAGAAATAATCACACACTGTATTAAGCTATAGTTTATTGAATAAATCACTATTTGTGTTTCTGCAAGATAAAACTACAAACCATAGTTATCCAGTCATAAATTCCTGGTTCAGAGTGAGCTTAAACCAGTGTTTTTTAAACCTGGCAATTTTTAAGATGTGTGGCTTTCGTCTTGCAGAATTCCCCAAGCAGCAAGCTGGCTAGAAAATTTTGGAAGTTGAAGTTCACACATCTTAAAAAGTTGCCAAACGTTGGAAAAACACTGGCTTAAGCAGAACTATATAATAAGGCAGTATGAACCAAGTTGCAACCACGTGCATTTGACAACAAATGGTTAAACACCTGCATGGGGGGGGGAGCAGGACACAAGAGTAAAATAGAAAGCCAGTTTAACGTGGGGGTGGTTAAGACATGAGGCTAGAAACCAGGAGACCGAGTTCTAATCCCACCTTAGATAAGAAAACAACTAGGTAACTTTGGGTCAGTCAGATTCAGCCCTACCCACCTCGCAGGGTGATTGCTGTGGAGAAAAATAGGAGGAAGGAATATTGTATATATTGGGTAGTTTGAATTACTTATAAAGTAATCTAAAAAAAAAAGTTAAGAGATCTAAGAAAATAACATCCTGACTTAATTCGCACTAGTTTGCTTTGTGCCACCGCCTGCCCCAATTTTCAAAGGGAAAAGATGTTCAATTAGTAGGATCTGCCGTCTATCGAAGTAACTAAATACAGGAAATGTACTTGCTTTGGTAGGGAATATCTTTTTACGGACCCATGAGCAACCCTCATTCCAAAATCTCCGTGGGTATGCAGTATTTTGGGGAAAAAAAATCTTCAAACAGACATAAACGTTGATTCTCCTCTACCGCCTACATTCTCTATTAATACATCGCGTATTAGCTTGCTTCACTTTCCCACATGTATTTTAAAAGTTTCAGGAAGTTGTACCCATCCAGATACAAGATGCATACATGAATAATCACGAAGAGAAATGTTCGGGTTGAAGTTGGCATTTTGAAAATTATGGCTCTCTACATAACCGATCTATACATCACCAATACAAGGAAAGAACCCTAATCAAAGTAAACCACAAGATAGTTTTTTTAAAAAAACCAAACACTTGGAAAGACCCCTCTTCAGCTGATCAAACAACTTTCTTCCCCTCCGCCAAGCCCACTGCGCATGCGTAAGAGGCACTTTTCTTGTTTTTAATGTCCAGCCCGCGTTCCGCGGAGACGTCTGTACGCCTGTGCGTCGGTCATGTGACCTGTGGCGGGTTAATCTGAATCTGGAGGAGGAGGAAGCGAGCGAGCGGGTCGGTCTCGAGGGCTGAAGGATCTCGGCGGCACCAGGCCTTCGAGGGGCCCGGTGGCGGCTCGATTTAGGTCTCCACGGAAGAATCGAGCTTGGTTCACTTTCCACACGGAAGGCGGCTGTTGGATGCCTTAGGTCGTCGGGAATCGACCGTCTCCCTTTGGGCCTCTCGCGGTGTCGGAAGAAGAGACTTGGGGACCCGAAGGTGTTGTTTGGGGATTTGTAAAGGGGGGGGGCTTAGTTCCGGCCAGGAATAAAACGAGGGCCGCTTATTTAATATTAGTCTCACGTTCACTCCTGTTAAATGTCAACTACGCAGTATGACAAGAAATGCGTAACATCCTACAACAAAGGTGATTAGGGGACTGGAGGTTAAAGCATATAAGGAACGGCTGCTGGAATTAGGTATGTCAAGTTTAACGAAGAGAAGGACGAGGGGGATATGATAGCTGTGTTCCAATATCTCAGGGCCTACCACAAAGAAGAGGGAGTCAAGCTATTCACCAAAGCACCTGAAGGCAGGACAAGAAGCAACGGATGGAAACTAACCAAAGAAAGAAGCAGCCTAGAACTAAGGAGAAACTTTCTGACAGAACAATTAACAACTTGCCTCCAGAAGATGTGAATGCTCCAACACTGGAAGTTTTTAAGAAGAAACTGGACAGCCATTTGTCTGAAATGGTATAGAGTTTCCTGCCTGAGCAGGGGTTGGACTAGATGACCTCCAAGGTCCCTTCCAATCTTATTATTATTATTAGTGTTTGTGTTTGTGGGTTGTCTTCCAGGTAGGATTACTTTTCAATGAAACGTATGAAAATATAGAGGCTATTAATTACCATATGGCTTATAAAATTAAAGGGTAATTTTCAAATGCTGTACACCGTTAATGTAATTTTGTGCCTTTTATTCAAACTTCAGTTTTCTCTCTTGATAGGAATATTGAATAGTTTGTACCATGGCAATGCAAATGCAATGTGATGAGAGCATAGATATCTCAACGGAGGAGGAAAGCTTTGGGCCTCAGCCTATTTCCCGTTTAGAGGTATATAACTAACATACATTAATGTGTAACTCTATTTGGAATCATGTCTACAGTCCCATCTTATATTCTTTATTGATAATTTTCAAATGTTTCATACTGTTTCAATGAAAGTTTCAATGAAACCATACTGGCTTTTTTTAAAAAAAATTTTTTGATGAAATAAAGCTCCTTGCCACCAGTACTGACAGTATAAAATATTTTACTCGACAAAAGTTAATCTATTTCTTTTTGATGCAATGTTTGAAAGAAGTTGAGAAAGGACTTAAGTGTCATCCAAATCTTTATATTTTCCAAATCTTAGTGTTATTGAAATAACTTATTTTTAATAATGTATTTTTATTTTAATAAAGATTTTATACTTTTATAATGACTGTTTTTATATATTGCTTTTACTGATTATTGTAAATTACCCAGAGTTCCTTCTGTGAAATGGGAGGCCATATAAATGTGATAGATAAATAAATCTTAAATGTATTTCTTTTTGCTTGTAAACAAAAAGAAAGATGATAGGTATTGATTCATTATGCAAAATACATTTAAAAATATTAGCTGGTTTTATTTTCAAAATCTTAGAATATATTTTTACTAAAAACTATACTTGCTAAAGAATTTAAAGCTCTGTTTTTCTTTAAATTGATGGAAATAATTGAAATGGACAAAGCTGATTATAAATGTCAGCTGCTATCTTTGCAGAGTGCAGGACCAAATCTCACAGAGTTCTGTGGAGCTCACTCTTACATTAGAATATTACGTTGTTTATGTTTGTTATCTATTTCATTTGGATCATTATATCTGATATGTATAGAACTCTTTGAATTCTACATTAAATTTGTTATATAACAGTATTTGTTTTTCTAGCAATGTGGAATAAATGCAAATGATGTGAAGAAATTGGAAGAAGCTGGTTTTCATACCGTTGAAGCTGTTGCCTATGCACCAAAGAAGGAATTGCTCAATATTAAAGGCATCAGTGAAGCTAAAGCAGATAAAATCCTGGTAATCTTGCTTAGCTTAAACATGTTCAGGATGTATGCAGATAGTCCTCGACTTAAAGCAGTTCATTTAGTGACTGTTCGAAGTTACAACAGCACTGAAAAAAGTAACATATGCCCATTTTTCACACTTATGACCGTCGCAGCATCCCCATGGTCGTGCAATTTACATTTGGATGCTTGACGACTGACTTATATTTGTGACGGTTGCAGTGTTCCGGGGTCATGTGATCACCTTTGCGACCTTCTGACAAGCAAAGTCAAGGGGGAAGCCAAATTCACTTAATAACCAGGTTGCTAATTTAACAACCACAATAATTCACGTAACAAATGTGACAAGAAAAGCTGTAAAATTCTCAAAAATTCACTTAACAAATTTCTCACTTAGCAACATAAATTCTGAGCTCAGTTGTGGTTGCTGGTCGAGGATTACCTGTATTTAGGCAATACTGAGTATTATTTGTATTATGTTATTGACTGATTGATTGGACCTACATGGCCCTATACTTCATATAATGATTCTTGGTGGCTCATAACAATCCATAAAACAGAAATGCCCTTCTCTCCATGATGTCAGATCAAGCAGCCTCCCAGCTCAACCCCATCCTAGCTTAATGTTGGGGGAGAGCCAACTTTTCACAGACCTCTAGAATAGGGGTCCCTAACC